CTGTCTTAAACTCTTATCTCCTTTCTGTCCTCTACCACTCCGTATTCTCCTCTCCAGTCCTGTCTTGTACTCACCTGGATTAGAAAAACAAAATCCAGATCAACACTTTAGGATGCAGCAAAACAGTAGAACAAGAAGACATAGGTTTAGAGTTGGGCAATTTAGTCTTAAAGAGCAAAGTAAGACAGATACTTATTTTTTAAGCAGAGGGTAACCATTTTTGGGGGTCAGCAGGGTCTCTGATACATGCGGAAACCTATCACCATGCTTACGAGTATCCAAACCACATACACATGGAAATTCCAGATTGTTGGAATGGAATGCGCACTCTCTTCTCTCCCTGGAGGGACACATCCTGCTCACCTAATTTGCAGGTGAGGAAGAGTCAAGTAACAGAGGATCGAGTTCAAGATCCTCGTCCTCACCTTGCCCCCTCCTACCTCTCCGACCTGTTGACTCCCTACCAACTTGCCCGCTCCCTCCGTTCATCGGGCTCCGGTCTGCTCCATGTCTCCCGCTCTACCATCGGTGGCCGGGCTTTCAGCCTCTCTGCCCCCACACTCTGGAACTCCATTCCACGGTCCCTTCGCCTCGCTTCCTCCCTTGCCTCCTTCAAGATTGGTCTGAAGACCTTTCTCTTTGACCATGCCTTTGGTCTCCCTCCCACCTCTCTGCCTTCCCTCACCCCTACATCACCCCTCCCGCATGCTCGTACCCCGACATCTGACTGTTCAGCGCTTTGGGACGTCCTCCCGACGTGAAAAGCGCTCTATAAATGTAATTTTGTTGTTGTTGAAGAAGAGCCTTCTTCATCCAAACTGATTTTAATAATCCTAATAATTCTTGCATTTGACATAGTACTTTTCACATCCTCTAGACGTATCAAAGCGCTTCACAGAATATATTGTAAAGTGATTTGACTGTATATTTTGTGGGCAAAACGCGGCAGCCAATTGGCAGTGTCCCAAAAACAGTTGTGGATTGAGTCACCAAATTATTATTGTTTTTTTTCTTGATGGATTAGTATCAGGCGTGTGGAGTAAGGAAACTTGCCGAAGGTTTCGCCCTGCCTCAAATCGAACCCAGGTCTCTCGCTTGCAAGGTGAGTACTCTAACCACTGAGCTCCAGGACAAATCTTGAGAAGGGATGTGGAGAGCGAGAGCTGTAAAGTGAGTTTAATTTAAAATACCTGATAATGGATTGAGTTGTTTATTTGACATGAAATGTATTACATAAATGCAACTTGTGTTGTATGGAGATGTTTAAAAAGTATGAACAGATTCAATAAGGTGGGTGTTAAATGGACTGTTTCCTTTGTTGTTTAGTACAAAACAAGAAGGCATAAATAAAAGATAGCCAGCGGTAGATCGAATTGGGAGTTTAGGAAGAACTTCTTCATGTAGCGCTGGGATGGTGTTGCATTGTTGGATGAGACATTTGAGACATTAAACCGAGGCCCCGTCTGCCTGTTCAAGGAGACGGTAAAGATCCCATGGCACTATTCAAAAAGATAAGGGAGTTTCTTTCTCCTGGTATCCTGGCCAACAATCCGCCAAATAAAATTGATCACTCTTTTCATGGCTGTTTCCGGGATATCGCTGTGCGCAACTGGCTGCCATGTTTCAGCGACAAAATATACAGTCAATCCATATTACAGTATGGATTGAGACCTCTCAGTGATGTGATAGGGCCTTATGAGCACTTTGAGACCTTTCAGTGATAAGGCGTTATATCAAATGCAATGAATTTTTGTTAATAACGAAATGCCAGGATTATCATGATTATCCTACTTACAAAGAAGTAGGAAAGAGATAAGGTACGAGAAAGGAGTAATCCGAAAAAGAAACAAAAGGAAATTTTTTGTTGTAGCGCAGTGATTATTAGCATGTTCTTCTCACAAGTGAGAGGACCCGGGTTCGCTTCCCAGGTAAGGCAAAACCTTAGGCGAGTTTCCTAACTCCACACGCCTCTGTTTACCTAGCAGTAAGTATGAACCTGGTTGTTAATTGATTAGCGGATCGCTTTCCGGGAGTAATAATCCTTCCCCCCAAAAAAATCCAAACCCAAAATATTTGGTCACTCAACACACAACTATTTGTGGGACATACATTGGGCGCAATGGGCCGCCGTGTTTCGCCCACGGAATACGCAATCAATTCACTTTGCAGTCTATTCTGCGAAGTGGTTTGAGACGTCTCGACGACGTGATAAGGCGCCGCATCAAATGCGCCCACTATTGCTATTATTACTATTATTATAAATAAATAAATAAATAACTAAATAATGAAACCAATTATTACAAAGGAGCAGAGAGGAGATAAAGGGGGTGGGGGGGTGCGAGAGCGAAAAGGAACAAGTCCAAAGAAAGCAAGAAAGAAAGAAAGAAAGAAAGAAAAAGAAAAAAGAACATTATTTTTATCACAACAACAAAAAATAACTTAACACAAGCACATGGTGTCAGACTCCGCCTTTTGGCCCCAACTTGCCCAATGAGAGGTAGGAAAATCAGGGCTGCAGCTCGCAGTTGGGAGGAAGCGGGTCAGTTTCAAGTGTAAGCAAAGGCTGACAGACAGAGCTGGTGAAGGGCAACACAGGACGAGGGTTGTGAGTGCCAACAGAGCTCGTCTCCATCCCTCCATCCCCAGATCTAGTGCAAAGTCCCCCCAGAGCTTCCCCTTCAGCACCTGCAGCTTGTGATCAATGCCATTTCCCCTCTCCATCCCTTTCCTCCCTGAATCCCACTCTCTGTTTTTTCCCCAGTACCAAAGGAGCTGTTAGATACACACACATAGATATATATATAAGTATATATATTTCTATATAAAAACAATCGAAAATAAAAATCAAGAGGACTCACATATATATATATATATATATATATATATGTAAAATATATATTGGATTTCTCTCACTCTGGAGGAAAAAGGGTTCTTGGAAAGACTGCAGGTCGGTGCTTCTCTCTGGGTGAGTTTGCATTTTGTTTTCAACCTTTGCAATAGAGAGAGAGAGAGAGAGAGACAGAAGGAGAAAAAGAGAGAGAGAGAGATGCTGCTAAGGTTAAGATGAACAGATCGGAACAAGAGTTTGCCTTTCTATCCCGTTTCGAGAGGAAATCTATTGAGAGCTGTAAGGAAACATTGGTGTATTTTTTTTCTCCATCAAATCAAATGGTTATCAATGGGGATGCGATGCAAACACAAATTGCGATGCATCGACTGTGCCCCTGTGCTCCAGCCTTGTGTTTTTTTTAAAAAATTCTCTTTAAAAAGAGTGAGAACAAGCACAGATCTAAATCAATAAGACTTGGAGTTATCAGTCCATGTGTTAGTTTGCACAGCCAGAAATGTTCTTTGTTGTTGTTGGTATTTTTTGTGTGTGTGTGTGTGTGTGTGTTTCTGTGGGGAAAACACAATCCTTTTTTTGTGGAGGTGTGAAATCAACATCCAGTAACTATAAACTTGCCAATCGACTCGACTGCCTTATACCTCACTCCTTTCAAAGATTTTGGGGGGGGGATTTTGTTTTGATATCGTTAAGAAATTGTGACCAGGAGAAATGTTTTTTTGTTGTTGTTGGTTTGGGCATCCTGAGAAACTGACCAGGAGGAAACTAGAGCATTGCAGAAACCAAACTGCATTTATGTGTGTATATATATATATATATATAAATAAATAAGATCTCTATGTGTATAATATACCTATATAATATTCGTGTGTATATTTCGTATACAGTATATCAGAGGTTAGAACTGAGCATTGCATTGCAGAAAGTGACACTTCGGGAACATATTTTATGTACATTAAAAATATAATTATATGTACGCACCCACAATCATCTCTTTCACAGTCACATGCAATGTACATTTGCTCTATTTTTGCCAGATGCGTTTATATATATATATATATATATATAATACACACACACACAGCTCTTGTCTGATGTACATGCGTAAGAACTGCTTTGACCGACAGTAACCTCGATCTTGTTTGCTTTAGGGATGATGGAAGCGGATTATTATGATGGGAAGGGGTGGGGGTGGGGATGGGGGGAGGAAAGGGTATGTGCCAACAGACAGACAGACAGACAGACAAGCATTATGTAAGCATTGCTTTAGAAAAAAAAGAGCAAGGTTTACCTTACCACCTTTTTTTTAAAAAAAAGAGCACATTTTGTACCCTGTGCATTACATATAATAATGAGACCATATCTTTAAAAGGCTGCATTTATTGTAGCTGAACTTTGGAGACTGCGAACAATGTTAGTTAGCAGAGGGACCAATGTCTGAACTGCCCTGCCACAGTAATTATTCTCCTCCACGTGAATGTAATCATCTTTTTTAAAAAAAAAATTGGCTTACAATGTGATTTTTTTTTGGGGGGGCGGGGGTTACATAAGTGCTGTTGACTGACAAAATACACAGTCAAGTTCGCTGCACGGTGTATTCCGTGAAGCGCTTTGAGCAGCCTCGAAGACGTGATAAGGCGCTGCATCAAATGCAAGGATTTATTATTATTTGATCCCGTCCGTGCCTTTCACTTCGGAAGGATATCTCAAAACACTTCACTGGATTTCAATGCAAAGCGCAGTGACTGTGTATTTAGCTGGCAAACGCAGCAACCAATTTGCACACGCCATGATGCAATGCGCCCACAAACACCCGTGAAGTGAATGACCAATTTTCTTTGGGGGGATTGTCAGCCAGGACATCAAGTGGAAGAAATTAGATGGGGAACAGCATCCACTTGCAACTTTATGGCCACCTTTCATTTAGGCTTGTCGAGCTTCAGAAAGACAATTGGATAGGGAGTGGGGGGGATTGAGGCTGGTAGGGGAGGGAATTGAAGGTGGCTGCGCCCAAATTGGCTGCTGCGTTGGCCCCACCAGATGTTACAATACATCCTGTGAGTGTTTTGATACATCCTCCCAATATGAAAGACCCTTTACCAGACGTAAGTAAGGGTTGCTATTATTCATCCTGATTGCTTTATTCCAGAGCAACACTTGCTCAGAGCTCATGGCGGACCCCAAGTCCGTCTGTGTCTCGGTCGATGAGGTGGTCTCCAATGGGCTGCCTGCCCAACGTGCCCCCCTGCTTCAGATGCACTTAAAGAAAGTGGAGAACCACATCACCGAAGCCCATCGTTTCTCCTACCTGCCACGGCGACTTGCTGTCAGCATCGATTTCAGGGATCTCTCCTACTCTGTAACTGAAGGACCGTGGTGGAGGAAGAAAGGTAAGAATTAATATTCAATGGCACAAGGGAAAAAGGCGGTCAATGGGGTTGGAGTAGAGAGCTCCAGTGGGGAACGTGCACCAGCACAGACATGATGGGGGGAGAGCAGGGAATGGGATTAGAGTAGAGAGTTCTAGTGGGGGACGTGCACCAGCACAGACACGATGGGGGGAGAGCAGGGAATGGGATTAGAGTAGAGAGCTCCATTGGAGATGCGAGCAGCAGCACAGAGACTTTGGGCTGAATGGCCTATTTATGTCCCGTAAACATACTCTGAGTCTATGAAGGAGCATTAAGTGGAAGGGTTTGCTGAATAATTCAGCATTGGATGAGGCACTCTATGGATGTTGGCGTAGCAATAACAGCGGGTCAAGAGGCAGTCATGTTATCGATCTTGCCTGACTGGGGAAGGAGCGATATCCCACCGAATGTGGGGTGTGAGGAATAATCATAGTGTTTTTTTAAATGAGTTGAAATGAAAGTGATTTGGTGATCATGACTCTGATACTATGAATAAAGCAACCTTTTGTTGTGTTACAAATATCATGGGTCTGAAACTTCCAGGGTTCTGAAACTTCACCCACTTTTAACCTTAAGACCACTGCTATAAATAATAATAATAATAATCCTTGCATATGGTACGGCACCTTTTACATCATCAAGATGCTTCACAGGATTTTACTGCAATGTAGAATGACTGTATTATGTTGCCGAACGTAGCAGCCAATTCACAACAGTAATGTCTCACAAATAGCCATGAAGTAAATGACCAATTTTATGGTTGTCCAGGACACTGGGGAGAAATTCTCTTTTCTCTTTGAGGGATCCTTAACTTCCCCCTGAACAGGCGGAGGGGACCCTCAGTTTAACTTTTGATTCGAAGCACGTCACCTCCGACAATGCAATGCTCCCTCAGGACTGCACAGGAGTATCAGCTTACCAAAAGCCTAAAAAAAGGGGCTTGAACTCACATCACTGTGATTTATAGGCCAGATTGTTACCTACCATGCTCAACTGACACTCATGGCTAACAAACTCAGTCCTAACTTGGAATATTGTGTGGACATGTCTCAAAGTGTTGATCTTTTGACTGGCTTTCTAAGGATGCCCGGACAATAATAATAACAATAATCCTTGTACTTGATATAGCGCCTTATCATGTCATTGAGACATTTCCAAGCACTTCACATAATATACTGTAAAGTGAATTGACTATGTATTTTGTGGGCAAAACGTGGCAGCCAATTGCGCACAGCAGTGTCCCACGCAGTCGTAGATTGAATTACCCAGTTTTTTTTTGGAGGGATTATTACCCTCGGAAAGCGATCCGCCAATTGATTAACAACCAGGTTCCTACTTAATGGTAGGTAAACAGAGGTGTACGGAGTAAGGAAACTTGCCTAAGGTTTCAACCTGTCCGAGAATCGAACCCAGGTCCTCTTGCTTGTGATACGAGTGATCTAACCACTAGGGTACGGGACTCCAGATGTCAGCTATCTTCTCTCTCTCTCTTGCTCTCTCTCTCCCCCCCCCCCCCCACTCTCTCTCTCTCTCTCTCTCTCTCTCCAGCCAGGGCTTTATTTTAACTTGCACACGGGATTTGATATTGAAAAGAAGGTAGCAACAGAGAGAGAGAGATTTAGCCTCTCGGAGAGGCAAATCAAGGCCAGAATCCATTTCGATGGCAGCCGGAATGGCAGCTTGTAAGAGCAACAACAAACACAGTGTAGCACGCTTAATCTGATTAGCAGTTGATCTCTCTGAATTCACAAATGGTTGTCCTGATTTAAAAGGGTCAGAGGCAATCGCGTGAACAAAACAATAGGACGCAGTGTTAACTTTTACTCCCAGACCTGCAGCCCCTTGTGGGTTTAGGCTTTAAGACTCTAACCTTCAACAAGAACCACAAGGATTTACATTTATGCAGTGCCTTTCACGCTCAAAGGACGTTTCAAAGCTCCCCTTTTTTTTTTGATCAGCTGGATGTCCGACATACAAGGAAACTCATAGCCAATCTTAAGGGTACCCAAACCAGACCGACAGAGGAAATCTGCCTAAGGTTTCACCCCGCCTGAGAATCAAAACGAGTCCTCTCGCTTGTGAGACGAGCGCACTATCCACTAAGCTATGGGACTCCACAATATAATACAACAAAATAATACAATTCAACTTCAATTTATTTAGCAGCTTTCATGTTGGGAGCAAGTCCAAGGTCCTAGATTTGTCCCCGAAGTGGGGGTGGGGGCAAGGGGTGTGTGTGTTTGAGGGGGAAAGATGGTCGAAAACCCCAGCTCCACTGGCGTCCCATCACTCAGAGGATACAGTTCAAGATCCTGGTCCTCACCTTCAAAGTCCTCCATGGCCTTATTCCTCCCTACCTCTGTGACCTCCTAACTCCCTACCAACCTGTCCGCTCCCTCTGCTCAGCGGCCCCCAGCCTGCATCACATCCCCCGCCTTGCCCACCCCACCATTGTCGGGCAGGCCTTTAGCCTTTCTGCCCCACCCTCTGGAATGCCATTCCGCAGACCCACCGCCTCACCCGTTCCCTTACCTCCTTCAAAACCCATCTCAAGCCCCTCCTCTTCGTCCATGTCTTCGGTCACCCTCTTACCCCTATCCTTCCCACCCTCCACCGCTCCTGATCCCAACCGCCAGCTCGGGTGCGGAATGCTGACTGTCCAGCACCTTGGGACGTCCTCTGGAAGTGAAAGGCGCTTTACAAATGTAATTTGTTATTGTTGTTGAAGCGCGTTGTGTTGTCTTCCCTTATACTTGCTTGTATCAAATACAAGGGTTATTATTATTACTGTATTATTCTATATTATACTCATTGCAAAAAAATCCTTCGGTTAAAATCCTTCACTTAAAATCCCTGATGCACACGAAGAAAAAAACACATCCCAAAATATTCCATCAGTTCCCCAAGGGGGAGGGATATGGAGGGGAATGATTTCTGTTCTCTGGAGCAGGTGCATTGCAGCTCAATGCTGCACAGCAGCTACCAGCTTGGTTACTCTCGTACATTACCCGATAGTAACCTGCAGCTTGAAAAGCAGGCATGAATCATGAACTGATTGGTTCTTGTGCTCTGTTACTGAGGGGGCTGGTGTATGGGGAGGAGGGGTGGGGGGGGGGGGCGCAGAGTGGAAAGATGGAGCTGGGATTGCAAATTATATGTGTGAGTGTGTGTGAGAAGGCAGCTTTGACAAGAGAAGAGAAATAAAAATAATAATTTGGGCACTCAATCCACGACTGTTTGTGCTCAATTGGCTGTCGCGTTTCGCCTGCAAAGTATACTTTACAATATAGCACTCTACAGTATATTCTGTGGTGCGCTTTGGGACGTCTCAATGACTTAAAAAGGCGCTATGTCAAATGCAAGGATCATTATAAGCTTTGCTGTGTGCGTTTTTTAAAAAAAAAATATTCATCCCTTTTCGGATGTAATATATGCAGCGAGTCCCGCAATGATCACTCCCGCTGCCGTACTATAGCATTTTTGTCAGGGAGGAGGGGAGAAGTTAGGGAAGGATTTAATAAAAGATTATTCTTCAACTCTCTGCAACATGTCACATTCGATTTGCATTTGCACAGTTGTCTCGGAACACATACACGTGTCAGATCCAGCGTGACAGACCTTTGGCAATAATAATTGTGACATCAGAGCTTCTTGCATTTGATGCGATGTCTCAAAAGTGTTTTGCAGGATTTTATCGTGAAATGGAGTGACTGTGTTTTGTAGGTGAATGCGACAGCCAATTTGCACACAGCCGCAAACAGCCATGAAATGAAATGACTAATTTTATCTGTGTCTGTTGGTGGGGCTGGTCGGGTTAATGGTAGGGAGGGGTATTGGGACACAAGGGAGAAACTATAATAACAATAATAATTCTTGCATTTGATAGGGCACCTTATCATGTGGTTCAGATGTCTCAAAGCGCTTCACAGAATATACTGTAAACCGGATTGACTGTGTATTTTGTGGGCGAAATGCAGCAGCCACAGTAGTGTCCCACAAATGGTCGTGGATTGAATGACCAATTCAAAAGCGTGTCGAGTAAGGAAACTTGCCTGAGGTTTCATCCTGCCTGGGCATCGAATCCGGGTCCTTTTGCTTGCTGTGCGAGTGCGCTAGCCACTACGATACACGACTCTCTTCTCTTGTCAAATAGCGGCACAGGATCTTTAACATTCACCTGAACAGATAGACGGGACCCGGTTTAATGTCTCACCATTAATTGGGTGCAAATCCTTGACTGCCCAGCACCTTGGGACTTGCTCCTGATGTGAAAGGCGCTACACAAATGTAATTTGTTGTTGTAGTTGTTATTTCACAGATGATGGGTTAGAGAAGAGGGAGTTCCCGAGGTACGTGGGTTAGTAATTGAGGCGCGGTTACCCCTGGCGGTATGGAAAAATCCTGAGTTTGCTGAAGATTTGGGTTGGAGAAGATTAGAGAGGTCGGGAGATAGATGCTGGATGTGATAAGGCACTATATCGAATACAAGGATTATTATTATTGTTGTCCCGCAAAGCGCTTTGAGATGGTTTTGACGACTTGTATCAAATGGAAGGATTATTATTGAAAAATAGGCTCTCACACGTGTAGTGGGTGTTGTCATAGATTCTAGCAGTGTGTGGGTGGTGACTGCCCAATCCTCCGCACTCCACCCCCCCCCCCAGTCTTGTCAGCCATCTGTGCCTGCCTTTATCCATGTCTGGGGCACCCTACACCTTGACCCATTCATTGCTTCATTCAACCCCTCAAAGACAGTGACCCCAGGGATTGCTCACAGCTGCTTCACTGGCTGCCACTTGCCATCATGTTGCCATCACTTTGCTAACGGAGGGTTGGAAAAAATGTGATGTTTCGTAGCAGGTTCATTGACCTTCACACTGAACCTTGACCGCCCCCACCCCATCCATTCCTTATGACTGGTCGAAACCTTAGGCAATTTTCCTTACTCCACACTCTTTTGTTTTTCTAGTAATACGTAGGAACCCGGTTGTTAATTGATTGGAGGATCGCTTTCCAGGGGTAATAATCCACGACTGTGTTTTGTAGGTGAATGCGACAGCCAATTTGCACACAGCCACAAACAGCCATGAAGTGAAATGACCAATTTTACCTGTGCGCGCGTGTGTGTGTGTGTGTGTGTGTGTTGGGGTGGGGGGGAGAAGGTTAATTGGCTGCAGCCTTTCGCCCACAAAATATACAGTCACTACAAATAATAGTATATCCTGCGCTTTGAGAAGTCTCAATGACGTGACAAGGTGCTGTATCAAATGGAAGGACTATGATTATTCTCCTCCACTTAACCCCATCCTTCCGTCTGTCTGCCTGTCTGCCTGCCCACCCCACCTTCCCACCCATCCGTCCATCTCTTTACCGCCCCTCTTGTCTGTCCCTTTCGAGTAACCACAAAAACAGCGACTTGCGGTACAGGCTTCCCTTAAAGAAGGTGAAAAGTAGGTGAAAGGTTAATTGCCATCTGCTCTACCCAGACCCCAAACCATGTCACGTGCTGGCGAGGAGTCTGTTGAATCTGATTAATTAGTCTGAGCCATTCAGAATGAACAGCAGCCATCTCACGCTGCTGCAGCTTCAAGGAGAGCAGCGAGTCTAAACAGCAGGGGTTGTCGCAGGGCTGACCATTTGGACTTTAAACCCATTGACACAACCTCCCAATTGTAAGACGCCTCACCCACCAACAACCCCCCCCCCCACCCGCCACCCCCGGCCCACACGAAACCCATTCACTTTGCTTTTTCACTGTGGTTACTTGCTCAGATTCGTGTGGCGCACAGTCTAAACGCTGGCACGGACTTTTGGGCTGAGTGGCCTTTTTCTGTGCTGTACATTCTTTGTAATGACCGGAACAGTTCGCTGGAGCAAAAAAAAATGTTATCGTTGCGTCTGACGCAGCCTCTCACATCATGTTGGGAGGAAGTCTCAAAGCGCTTCACAGAATTTACCCACAAAGTACCGTGCTGTTTTTTATTGTGAGCAAATGAGGCAAACAGTTTGCGCACAGCAATGACCCCACGAGCTGCCATGAAGAAGTGAGGGACTGATATTAGGACACCTGGAAAAACTCCCTTGTCTTTTCGAGTAGGAATCACAGGAATCTTTATAACTGAAATCCGACGGCAGGTGGACTTTCAGCCATTTTGCCCCACATTCCCTGGAACTCCTTCCTGGATTCCCCTTGTTCAAGGCCCACCTCAAAATATACCTCGTTGACCACACATTCGATCATCTTTGCCCTTCCCACTCCCTTCGGCTCCCTCCCACCCCCAGCTCGGGTGCCCACTTCAAGACACCATCCCGACGTGGAAAGGTGCTGTGAAAGATGTAAGTTGTGTTGTACTCTATCTGTCTGATGCAAATACCTTATTCCTGATCCAACCAACGAACCCTGCACAATTCCATGTCTCCTTTGATCCCTCAGCACTGGTGATGGTCTGCACTAATGTGAAAAGGCAGCATTTTTACCTTGAAGATAATTGAAAAATATATTTTTCGCTTCCTGAGCATAAGGTGGTATCAAGTCCTATTTAATGTGAAGTAGCTCATTGCCATAAATGCGGCCTAAGTAAGCCTTTCCTTACAATTATGGTGTTTACTAAAAGAATCATAGAATCCTACAGCACAGATGGAGGCCATTCGGCCCATCGTGCCTGTACCAGCTCTTTGATAGAGCTACCCAATTAGCCCCAACACTCCACTGCTTCCCCAAACCCTTGCAATTTATTTCCATTTCAGGTAAATATTCAATCCACTTTTGAAAGTTATTGTTGAATCTGCTTCCATCACTCTTTCACGCAACGATTTCCAGATCGTAACAACCCGCTGCATATAAAAAATTCTCCTCATCTCTCCTCTGGTTCTTTTGCCAGTTATCTGAAATCTGTGTCCTCTGGTTACCGGCCCACCCACCAGTGGAAGCTGTTTCTCCTTATTTATTCTATCAAAACCCCTCATAAATTTTAACACCTCTCTTAAATCTTCCCTTAACCTTCTCTACTCTGGAGTCCTGTAGCTCAGTGGTTAGAGCACTTGCTTTGCAAGCGAGAGACCTGAGTTCAATTCCAGCAGGGCGAAACCTTGGGCAAGTTTACTTACTCCACATGCCTAATAATAATCCCTCCAAAACCAAAAACAATAATAAATTGGTCATTTTCAATCTACGACTGTTTGTGGGACATTGCTGTGCGCAATTGGCTGCCACGTTCGCCCACAAGTATACAGTCAATTCACTTTACAGTGTGTTCTGTGAAGCGCTTTGGGACGTCCTCCCGATGTGAAAAGCGCTATATCAAATGCAAGGATTATTATTATAATTTATCCCAGTTTCTCTAGTCTCTCCACATAACTGACGTCCCTCCTCCTTGCTCGAATGAATAATAATCCTTGTGTTTGGTATCGCACCTTTCATTTGGATGCTCTCAGCATGTCTCTCTGAACAATAGGTGCTATCAGTGTGGTAACAACCTGCTCTCACTAAGTTCCTCCCAAAAGAGACTTGATAAGCCACCATGTTAGCCCATTTGCCTTCGAGACGTCTCAAAGCGCACCACAGAATATACTGTAAAGTGTAGTGACTGTGTATTTTGTGGGCGAAACCTGGCAGCCAATCACACACAGCAGTGTCCCACAAACAGTTGTGGATTGAGTGACCAAATTATTATTATTTTTAGTAGTAGCGCCCTCTTCTCTGAGTCCTACCCAAAGCACCCCGCCTCCTCCAAACACCACGCAAGAGAGTCAGCCTGAGCTTGACGCTTGAACCTGCGGAGTAGAAAGCCACCTACTGAGCCAGGCCGCTACGCATTGCGTTTCCCTTCTGTTTTGGCATCCGTCACTTGGATGGTAGCAGGACTTCCCTGAAAAGCCTATTCTTGAACACCAGTCTGATTTGCGGTGATTATATGATGCCATTGATTTTCTGCTCTTTCTCTCAAAATCTAGGTTATAAGACATTACTGAAGAGCATCTCGGGCAAGTTTAACAGTGGAGAGCTCATTGCCATCATGGGCCCCTCGGGTGCTGGGAAATCAACTCTGATGAATATTCTGGCAGGGTACAGGTAAGGAGAAAATAGGCTGAGAAAACTATTTATGATAGAAGCACACTGACTCTTAGATACCTCAGTAGAGCATGGCACAGCAAAGCCAAGGAGAAGAACAAAGCCAAGATCACGAGGGTGGGAGGGAAAGGTAGAAAGCGGCTTATCACGTCATTGAGAAGTGTCAAAGTGCTTCACAAAATATAACATCGAGTGGAGTGACTGGAATGACAATACAATTCAATACAAATTTATATTTGTATAGCACCTTTCACATCGTGAGGATGTCCCAAGGCCTGATATTGCTAATAATAATAATCCTTGCATTTCATACAGCGTCTTATCACAGAATATAATGTAACGTTGAGTGACTGTATATTTTATGGTGAAACACAGCAGCCAATTGCACATAATAATAATAAATAATAATCCTTGTATTTGATATAGCGCTTTTCACATCTTCTGGACGTCTCAAAGTGCTTCACAGAGTATACTGTAAAATGAATTGACCGTATATTTGTGGGCAAAACGCGGCAGGCAATTGCGCACAGCAGTGTCCCACAAACAGTCGTGGATTGAAAATCACCAATCACCAGGGATTATTATTAGGCGTGTGGAGTAAGGAAACTTGCCCAAGGTTTCGCCCTGCCTGGAACTGAACTCAGGTCTCTCGCTTGCAAGGCAAGTGCTCTAACCACTGAGCTACAGGACTCCACGTAGCAGTGTCCCACAAACAATCGTGGATTGAGTGAACAAATTATTATTATTATTTGTTGTTTTTGTTGTTGATCTACAACAAGGAAATAATTCCTTCAAAAAAAAGAAAAATAATTTGGTCACTCAATCCATGACTGTTTGTGGGACACTGCTATGCGCAATTGGTATAATCTGTGAAGCGCTTTGAGACATCTCGAAGACGTGATAAGGCGCTATACCAATATAACATAAACATTGCATTTATATAGTGTCCCTCACGCAGGGTAGCGTCCTAGAGCGCTCCCCATGTACTGTTGCAAGGAAGGTTTCCATGATGCAAAATTCTCCCAAGAGTAAAGATCTCAGTCCCAAATCCTCTGACTTCCCACTGGTGAAGCAGCTGCTAACACTCACAAAATGCTTGGCTCAAAGTAAGAAGAAGCTGTAGACTTTGAGACACAATCAGTAGCACTATCACCATGTCATCAGTCACGCAGTTGCACAGGTGAAATGTTCTTATGAATCGGGGGGTGGGGTGGGGAAACGGAGGAGGTATATTTTATTTTGCTAAAAATAATATGTTTTTGCGACATCTTTATAATGTTCTGAGCAGCTATGTTTAGACTCGACTCTAGATGCTGACACATGACTCTGAGCTCAAAATCTCACCCCTATTTATAATGACAATCCTAGCATTCGATGTTGCATCTTATCATGTTGTTGAGTCATCTCAAAGTGCTTTGCGGGATCTACTGTACAGTGAAGTGACCCTATTTTTGGGCGAAAACCTTCGTTGGTTAGAATCTGCGAGCCCTGGAGTGGTTTCCTGTAAAAACCAAACCTGGATGTCCTCACCTATTTTATGGGCTGCTGTTTCAATAGAACAAGCAATTTGCATTTATGTCAGGAGGACAATGTATTTGAATTTGAGGGGTAAATTTGGGAATGAAGAAAGGGAGGAAAAGACCTAGGAGTAAGAAGACTCCACGTTTCTTTTGAGATAATGATATCTATCTGAATCAAAAGTTAGAATTAATAACATAAAGAAAGGATGGAGTCATTGTGTGGAAACAAACAACAAACTTGTTTTTAATATATATTTTTTAAAAATTTAAAATATTTCATGGGGCAGGGATTCGGCTTTGTTTGAACCAACAGCTAAAGCCCTAAAGGGTAGGTGGTCGAGTTGGAGAAGTTTGCCAGGCAGTGCTCTCAGTTGACAAGCTATGTGGTTTTCACTGGTTTGACATCAGCAGTACTCCCAACACACTCTCTGGGGTCCCCAAGCCTTGACTCTTACCAACCTGTGCCTAATACTCTCCTGAATTCGGTAAAGCAGGGTGCTTCCTCCAGATGTTGGATAACCTTTAAGATGAAATGGTCTGGGAAGCAAAGACCAGGAAGTATAAAAAGGGAACCTGGGAGAATGACTGGTGTGGGTTTATGGTTGGAGCTAAGAATAAAATAGTTACCTTCTGCACCTGAGTTATGAGAATCATTGTAGAGATAGAGAGTGGACATTCCATTCCAACACACGGGAATGTGTGGAACTCTCAGTCTGGTTTGGATACTCTTACGGTGAAGGGTTTCGGACTGTTTCTGACCCACGGCTGGCTCAAAATAAGATTTTAATAATTATAATAATTCTTGTTTTGAAACTCGCCTTGTCACGTCTTCGAGGCGTCTCATAGCGCTGCACAGGATATACTGACAAGTGGATTGCCTGTGTATTTTGTCCATCTTATTATTTTAACCGTGAATGATGGAAGTTCTTCACCTCTCAGCCAGATTTCAACTCTTCACTTGATTTATATATTCTATTTCAGATGTCTGCTATTTGCTATATATTTGGATTATATAATATATAGTCTTCTACATAGGTGATAATAATCAATGATAATAATTAAAAATTGGCCGTGGCATTCAACTTTGCTTTTTTTTGTGTGTGTGTGAATTATTTAGGGAAACCGGGATGAAAGGGCAGGTCTTAATCAACGGGCATCCTCGGGACCTGCGCTCCTTCCGCAAGGTGTCCTGTTATATCATGCAGGATGACATGCTTCTTCCCCATCTCACCGTTCAGGAGGCAATGATGGTAAGTCTGTGTTGTGAAGTCTCGGGGCCCACCTTCTGCTGCAGGTGAGAATGTAAGACAGGAATCAACATCCCACTGCTCAGGACTCTTTGCATCTCCTCCAACTGGAAACTCCTGTAGCGTATTGGTTAGAGCACTTGCCTTTCAAGTGAGAGGACCTGGGTTCGATTCCCAAACAGGCCAGGGTGAAACATTAGGCAAGTTTCCTTACTCCACACACCTCTGTTTACCTAGCAGTAAGTAGGAAGCCAGTTGTTAGTCAATTGGTGGATCGCTTTCCACGTGTAATAATCCTTTCAAAAAAAGAATGTGGTCACTCAATCCCTGACTGTTTGTGAGACACTATTGTTCGCAATTGGCTGCCGCGTTTCGCCCACAAAATATACAGTCAATTCACTTTATAGTATATTCAGTGAAGCGCTATAAGACGTCTCAAAGTTGTGATGAGGAGCTATATAAATGCAAGGCTTATGGTTATAAATACCGGTTTATCTCAAACTTTATATTTTTCACTGGTGATCATATCACGTCCCAGATTTCAACCTCTCACTTGTTATATATATTATGTTTCAGGTGTCTGCTAACTTGAAGCTGCAGGAGAAGGATGAAGGCAGAAAGGAAATGGTGAGTGAGTGAAGGAAGACGTATTTGAGTCTTGACAGAAGATATTTCTGAGGAGACCTCATAGAGGTGTACCACATTTTAAATGTGATTGGAAAAGTAAACCCAGAACCATACTTTAATGTACACCAAGGCTGGGGACTTAGGTTTACAGTTGTAAATTTCAGGATGGACGCATCAGGAAGTATTAATTACCCAGAGGGTGAGCGTCCAGAAGGATGAGATTGCATGAGCTGAAGGATCTTTTTCATCCAAACTAATCATATGATTCTATAAAATGAGGGAAGGTTCCACCTCTCAGGAAGTCGTTAACTATTGATTTGACAACACTTACCAACAGTCTGAGGGAGAAACATTAACCTGCCACAGTTTATGACCAACCATCCACCCTGACCTCCCCCACCCTCGCATCCCCACCCCTGCTCCAAAATGAGCACCTCCGTTGGTGGGACACTCATATTGGAGTAGCTTGCTTCCTTCTTGTAACATCATGTCCTGTCTCCTGTCAGGTGAAGGAGATATTGACAGCTCTCGGGCTGCTGGAATGCATCAACACACGAACCATCAGCCTCTCCGGGGGCCAGCGCAAGCGCCTCGCCATCGCGCTGGAGCTGGTCAACAACCCCCCGGTCATGTTTTTTGATGAGCCCACCAGGTAACAAACAGGGACACGGGGAATTGGATGGAGTGATGGGGTAGGGGTTGCTCAGAGTATCAGTGGCCGTGGGTTTGCTTGTGGGCATGTAAGCATGGTGGCTATGGATTGGTCCATTCCCGGAATCCCTTCGACTCACTCTTTGATCGAGCTTTCAGTCATCGTTTTCCCTCCCCATCCCACCTCTCTTGGCTCCCTCCACCATCTCACTAGACCAGCCAGGAATGTTGAGCACTTTGAGACGTCCTTCCGATGCGAAACAACGCTGTGCAAATACTGTTATGTTTCTGTAAGGGAAACACAAAAATATTGCTTATGGGGCCCGTGGACCTTTCTCATGTAAGGTATCTGGCCCTCGGTAACCAATAGGTTGGACCATCCTGTTGTAAACTATCATCTTAACTCATCATCATCTTAGCTCGTAGTCCAACCTGATTGTCAGCCTATTGTCCTAGCCCCTTGTCTTATATCCTGCTTTTAGCCATCTTTCTCCCCCTGCTATACCAATGAAATCTTATTGTTGTTGTTGTCATCTTCAGTTTTTCTCGCGCCCCTGTTTGGGTATCCAGCCAGATGCATGTAGACTCTCTGAGGCGTTACCCTACATGAACAACGACAACAACAGATTGCATTTGATTAGCGCCTTTCACGTTGATTGTTCTATAAGTGCATGTTGTTTTTGTAAAGTTTGAGATGCCTTGTCCCCTCTCTACCTGTCCTCAAGTTCGGCCTCAAAACCGACCTCTTTAACCACATGATGGCCACCTCCTGCTCTCCCCTTCCCTTAGTCCAACTCCATCACTGTGCAGCATTCCGAGATGTTATCCTATATGAAGGATGTCTTGTAAATGCAAGTTGTTGTTCTTGTCGTCGCCACCTACCTTATCCCCTTCTGCGTTTATTTAGTCACGACGTGAAAGAGGCTGTACAAATGTAATTTGTTGTTATTGTTTGGTCATAGCGGACTGGATAGCTCATCCTGTTTCCAAGTCGTGTCACAGATGAAATCGTTGGCTCAGGGTGGACGAACCGTTATCTGTACCATACACCAGCCGAGCGCCAAACTCTTCGAACTCTTTGACAAGGTACCATTTTACTTACAAATAGACAGTCATTAAAATTATGCACTATTTATTACAAATATATAGCAATTCCTGTATATGTGTGGAGTCCTGTAGCTCAGTGGTTAGAGCACTCGCTTTGCAAGCGAGAGACCTGAGTTCAATTCCAGGCAGAGGGCGAAACCTTGGGCAAGTTTCCTTACTCCACACACCTAATAATAATCCCTCCAAAACCAAAAACAATAATAAATTGGTCATTTTCAATCCACGACTGTTTGTGGGACATTGCTGTGCGCAATTGGCTGCCGCGTTCGCCCACAAATATACGGTCAATTCACTTTACAGCATATTCTGTGAAGCGCTTTGGGACGTCTAGAAGACGTGAAAAGCGCTATATCAAATGCAAGGATTATTATTATTATTCCATATGAGATACTTTGAGATGTTTTGATGTCCAGTTTCATTCCTGGGTGATTTTTGTTTGTTTGTTTCTATTTTGGTCAGCTAGGTGTCTTGACCACCGGAAACTCATCACCGTGCTTAAGAGTATCCAAAGCAAACTGAGAATTCCATGCACAGAATTGTAGAACATTCGCAAATTCATCTTAATTTCGCAGACGAGATCTTGTTAAGAACTGCCCAGAAAGGCTTGGCTTAGTCTGTAGCCTTCTTGACTCTCAAGTCAGAAGGTTGCGGGTTCAAGCTCCAATGTCGGGGATTTGGGTTCACAACCTAGGCTGAGAAAGCAATGCATTTACTTACAAATACACAGTCATTAAACTTATGCACTAGTTACTACAAATATACAGCAATTCCATATGAGATGCTTTGAGATGTTTTGATGTCAGACACTGTATTAAATGTAAGAATAATGTTAATAATAATACTTGCATTTGATATAATGCCTTATAATAATAATAATCTTTGCATTTGGTATAGCGCTTTTCACGTCTTCTAGATGTCTCAAAGTGCTTCACAGAATATACTGTAAAGTGAACTGACTGCATCAATTGTGGACGAAACACGGCAGCCAATTGCACACAGCAGTGTTCAACAAACAGTTGTGAATTGAAGTGACCAATTTATTATTGTTTTTTTTTCTTTTAATGTCGTTGAGATATTTCAAAGAGCTTCACAGAATATACTGTAATTTGAAATGACTATATATTTTGTGGGAAAAACGCAGCAGCCAATTGTGCACAGCTGTGTCCCACAAATAGTCAATGATTGAGTGACCATATTATTATTATTATTTTTGAAGGGATTATTATCCCCGGAGAGCGATACACCAATTGACTAACAACTGGTTTCTTACTTACTGCTTTGTAAACAGAGGCGTGTTGAGTAACCATATGCTATTACCAGAACCGTACGTGGCAGGTCTGTTGCGGAAACGGATGACATGACTGGTTGTTAATTGTTATTCTGTGTTACTCAATCCTTTTTATTTTCAGCTCTATGTCCTGAGCCAGGGCCAGTGCATCTACCGTGGGAATGTTTGCAGTCTAGTCTCTTACCTCAAGGAGCTCGGCCTCAACTGCCCAACTTACCACAACCCGGCTGACTTTGGTACGAAATTAATGTGTTAACACGAGAGTGTGGTTATTGTGTGACAAAACCCCGCTTCGGGACTTTTAAGACTTGCAGTCTGGGCTGAGGATCCAACAGAGTACTGGGGAGATTGGGTGTTGGTGGGCCGCGGGGTGTGTGTGTGTTTCATTGTCGGAGGTGGCATCCTTCGGATAATAAGTCTTATCTGCCTATTCAGGTGGATGTTAAAGGTCCTATGGCACTACTGGGAAAGAGAAGGGAATTTCTCCTGCCATCCTGGCTGACAATCCCCCAGATAAAATCGGTCATTCACTTGATGGTTCTTTGTGAGGTGAATCTGTGCGAAAATTACCTGCCTCGTTCCCCCTCAAAATACACCAGTCAATCCGCATTATAGCAAAATCCTGTGAAGCCTTAAGACTTCTGACTCCTTAGTCGCTGAGTTGACTGCACAGGAGCTTCATTTGCACCAGGGCCAGAGTTACAATACAATTCACACTTATCAAGCTTCTTTCACTTCGGGAGGCCTTCTCAAAACACTTTACGCATCTTGCTAGGCACTTGAGTCAGGGTGAGAGCTGAAGAGGATGGAGGGGGAAAGATGACCGAAAGCACAATTGAAGAGGTAAGTCTTGAGCTGGCTTTGAAATCGGGGAGGGAGGTGGGCAAGTCGGAGCATCTCCAGGACGGGCAAGGGCAGAGTGGCACCGATGTGCAGCGGATAGAGCAGGGGTCAGGAAGCCGGCCAGTGTTCAACAACAACTTGCATTTATATAGCACCTTTCACCCGGGGTGGCATCCAGGAGGCTTAACAGTGGCAGAGCTTGACACCAAGCTGGGGGGAGAAAGGATATGACCGTAAGCATGGTCAAAGAGGAAGGTCTTCAGTCGTGATCTGAAAGATGGGAAGGAAGGAGCAAGGCAGAGGCATTGGAGGAGAGAGAGAGTTCCAAAGCTTCGGGGTGAAGTGGCTGAAAGCACAGCCACTGATGGTGGAGAAGAGGCAACAAGGGACAAGCAGGAGGCCACAGGAGGCTGATGGAGGCAGCGGATGGAGTGGGAAAAAAACAGGTCAGAAATGTAGGAAGGTGCCAGGGCGTGCAGGGATTTGGAGATGAGTGAGAGGTTTATTAAGCAAAAGGAGCAGCCTGGGCAGTGTGGTTGTAAAAGTAATAAACGGTGATAATCCTTACATTAGGTAGAGCTCCTTTCATGTCGGGAGTGTTCCAAAGTGCTTCACAAGTTGTACTGTAAAGTGCAGTGACTGTGTGTTTTGTGGGTGAATGCGGCAGCTGTTTTGCACACATAAACGGCTCACAAACAGCAATTAAGTGAATTTTATCGGAGGGGGAATGGGGGATTATTAGCCAGGACACTGAGAAATTCCCTACTTCTTTCATGTATTGCCACAAGATCCTTAACGTTTACCTGAACCAATACAGACAGAAATGGTAAAACTGGAGGGATTAACAAAGAAAGTGCTTCCATTAGGATAAAGCCTTGCTAATCTGCTGCGTTTAGTTTGGGATTCTCAAGGAGATTAGTGAGACGGGGATTATAGAAAGAGCAGGTTGATCGGAGGCACAGTGTGCAATTTATTAACAACGACAACAAAATTACACTTGCAAAGTGTTTTTCACGTCGGGAGGAAGTACCAAGACGCTGGACAATCAAAGTTTCAGACCCGAGCTGGGGGTCAGGATCGGGGAGGGTGGAGGGCAGGTGGGGGAAGGAGGGTGACCGAAGGCACGGTCGAAGGGAAGGGTCTTGAGACGGGTCTTGAACTAGGCAAAGGAGGGGGCGAGGCAGAGGGACTGCAGGATGGAGTGCAATCCCGCAATAATAATCAATGCCTTGCTAGGCACTTGAGCTAGGGCAGTCAAGTGCCTAGCAAAATGCGTGAAGCGCACACCTCTGACAAATCAGCTCTTTCCCCCCACACCACCCCACGTGTGCATTATTCCCAAATCCCTCCAAAATGCTCTCTTTCTTGTAGGCAATCAGATGACGTCTGGTGTTACCATGTCTCTCTTGTTTCCGTAGTGATGGAGGTGGCATCGGGGGAGTACGGGGAGCAGAACCCACGGCTGGTGAAAGCAGTGCAGGAAGGGAAGTGTGACACCGATTGCAAGCAGGACGAGAATGGAGATCAGGAGCTGACACCATTCCTCTGGCACAGACCCTCTCTGGAGGTACAGCACCCACAACATCCAGTCACTGCTCTCGGGAGTTCAAGCTCACAGTCTGGGATGACGCTCTAGTGCAGTGCCAACAAGCGGGGGGGTGGGGGGGTGGAGTGGTGAGGGGAGTGCTGAATTTGCGAGAGTGACGTCCTTCAGGATGAGCTGTTAACCCAAAGTCCTGCCTGTGCTTATCCAGATGGACATTAAAGATTCCGTGATGCTATTCGAGGAAAAAAGAGCAGGGAGTTTCTCCTTCTATCCCTCCGCCTTGTCCCTTTGTTGGGATTTCCCATCCCGTAGTTCGAAATATGACCTGACAATCCAAAATGGTGCAATAATTATTTTATTGTAAGACAGTGGGCTTAACAGTGTGTAAAGAAGAGCATACTACCGGTTAATCTGCGTAGAACAAAAGTGGTAGAAGATTTCTTGGCTGTCGTCCCGCTCTTACCCTGGTTTCTCTGGTGTAAAAAACCTTGCTTCCCTCCTGCCAGTCAGGCCAACTGACTTCTCTCTCTTTCTCTCCACTAATTATACCCCTTTCTGAACTCTTGCCAGATACTTTTACCCCCCTTACCACTCATCCTGCATGCACTCATCCTAATCAATCATTGGCCTGGCGCTAGCCCGACCGATGTTGATAAAGTGAGTCTCCATTGTCTTGTCTATTCCTTATATTCCCAGACCTAACACATGATGTTTTGCAGACCTTTCCTCCAAGTCTAGCTCGTACCCAAGGTTACAATAACACTTAGCAAACTGCATCTGGAGAGAGGGGAGATAACGGGTACCATGGTTCCAGCCTGTGCCACATTCCATTAGTAACAAAGCTAATTTATCAGCCATTTTGACCTGTTAGTACAATTAATTAAACATCTCTTAAAATTAATATATATATAACCTTGTTCTATTCTAACTGATTATAGGGGAATCCCTATATCCCAACACCTTCCTTTCCCACCTTCAGGTTGCACCTAAAGACCTTCCTCTTCCCCCACCGTCAAGCGCTCTGGGATGCTACCCTGCTTGAGAGCCACTTTATAAATGCAAGTTGTCATTGTTCTGGCCCACGTACCCCCTCCACCTCCTCCCCCCCCCCCCCCACACACCCCCCGGCTAAAATTGGCCATTTCCTTCATGGATGTTGCAATGTCCAAAATTGGCTGAAGTGCTTGCGTTACAAAATAGTGCGCTCGGCTCGCAAGCTCACCATCATTTCCCTGTAACCTTCACCCAAAAAGTATACAGTCAATTCACTTTACAGTGTATTCTGTGAAGCATTTTGAGACGTCTCAATGAAGTGAAAAGGCGCTATAGTCGAATGCAAGGATTAAAAAAAAAAGCACAATCACTGCATTTCAGATGCTGAGCCATGCTTTGAGAAGTTTGGTTGGTGGATTAGCTGACGTATCAAACGCTAGGATTATTATTAATTAACACAAGGAATGGATTTCAGGAACTACTGCAACAACTTGCATTTGCATAGCACCCTTGGCATAGAGCAATATCTTGGAAGGCTTTATAGTGACAGAGAGATGCTGAGTGAAGAGCCGGGGGCAGGGGCGTTGGGGATGCCGGGGAGTGGGGCAGTAGGTGACCATAGGTGCAGTCGAAGAGTTAGGTTTTAATGCTGGATTTGAAGAGTTAACAGCTGGCGTTAATAATAGTCTTCTCTTTGTATTTCCACAGGACCCTTCCCCTTCGGAAGGTTGCCATAGTTTCTCGGCCAGCTGTCTGACTCAGTTCTGCATTCTGTTCAAAAGGACCTTCCTGAGCATCATGCGAGATGCGGTAAAACAAAACAGAGTCCTGGATTAAAGGGGTAGCGAGGACAGTCAGATTCTTAATATTAAAAATAAGCCCCACCCCCGTCAGTGCCTTTACTTTCACAGATTGAATATCAATCGCTCCAGATGTTTAATGAACGATGTTTTAGAATTGCGTCCTCCCCAGATTGAGTGAGCAGATTCATGCAGAAGGGGGTGGTGGTGATTGTGTGGGGTGGGGGGTTGTTGGCTCACGCAGGAGAAATGAAAGAGCGACCTGATGATGGGGAAGGATGGGGCTAGGCAGAGGGATTGAGAGAGAATGTTCCAGAGTTTTGGAGAGTAGTGGCTGAAAACATGGCTACCGATTGTGGAACAGAGGGACAAGCAGGAGATCCGAGCCAGTCTAATTGGACCAAATGACCTGTTGCCATGCTGCAATGTTCTCTGCAATTCTACGTCACAAAATCAGTTTGGATGAAGGAGGCCCTTCGACCCATCTGATCTCATCCCGCCAGAGAACGCCCACCCTAGCATCCCCTCCATCACAGCTGCTTTTTAAATGAGTACCAGGGTCCTGGCTTCACCCATGCTTCCTAGCAATGTTTTCCAGTCATTAATTACCCTCCGGGTAAAGAAAAAAAATCTCCTGGTGTCTGTCCTGAAATCGCTCTTTGCAACTCTAAACCTGTGTCCTCTTGTTCCACTCTTAGTGCATCTTAAAGTATTGTTTTGGGTTGACTTTCTCAATCGAAATTAAAACATCTATGAGGTTCCCGCCCCCTCCCCCTCGGTGTCATTGGGACACCCTCCTGACATGAAAGGCACAATACAAATATAATTTGTTGTTGTTGTTGTCTTCTCTCAAGCCTGAAGAGTCCCAGTTTATCCAATGGAATAACTCAACCTGTTTTGTGAGCAGGTCCTTACTCATCTGAGGATCACATCGCACATTGGGATCGGGCTGCTGATCGGGCTGCTGTACCTGGGAATCGGGAACGAGGCAAAGAAAGTTCTGAGTAACTCCGGCTTCCTCTTCTTCTCTATGCTCTTCCTGATGTTCGCCGCCCTCATGCCAACCGTCCTGACCTGTGAGTGACAACAGTAATAATAATAATCGTTCTGAGACGCTTAAGCGCTCTCGGATGCTATACTGTATGAGGTGCACCATATATATATAGAGCGAGAGAGAGAGAGAGGCAGCCTGGTTTAAATCTTATTCTGTCAAGCTTTAAGTAGTGCTGGCAGGTAAACATGAGTTAATAAACGGTAAATGCAAGATGTTAATCCTTGCATTTGATACTGCGCTTTGTCAAGTCATTACGACGTTCCAAAGTGCTTCACAGAATATACCGTAAAGTGAATGGACTGTACATTTTGTGGGTGAAATAATGTGATACATTATAATGTATGTAAGCCAATTTGTGTGCAGCAAAGTGTAACAAACAGCCATGAGTATCCATTTTATCTGTGGAATTGTTGGCCAAGACACAAGGGAGAAACTCCCTTTTTTGTGACCTTTAATGCCCACCTGAACACAGACAATGCAGCTCCTCCCCCAGGACTGTATTGGAGCATCAGCCTAGACTATAAGCTCAAATTCCCCAAATGGGGATTGGCACCACAGCGTTCTGGCTCGGAGGCTAAATTGTAGCTTTGTGGACATCTCGGAGCACTTCACAAAGTTTAAGCTCCACTTTTGCTCAGGCCTAAAAGGGTTAAGTTACGAGGAAAGGCTGTGTAAACTTGTATTGCATTCCCTTGAGTTTAGAAGTTTGAGGGGTGATTTGATTGAGGTATTTAAGATGATAAAGGGATTCAATAAGGTAGATACAGAGAAGCTATTTCCTCTGGTGGGAGAATCCAAAACAAGAGGGCATAATCTTAAAATTAGAACCAGGCCATTTAAGAGTGAAATCAGGAAGCATTTTTTCACTCAAAGGGTGGTAGAAATCTGGAATTCTCTCCTCCAAAAGGCTATTGATGCTGGATCCATCCACACCTTCAAGAGTGAGGTTGATAGATTTTTGGTAGGTCAGGGTATTAAGGGATATGAGGAGAAAGCGGGAAATTTGAATTGAAAGGATTAGTTGAGGTACAGATCAGCCAGGCTGGAAGGGCTGATCGGCCTCCTTACGTTCCTATGAGACATATGGAAGAATGATGATAATTGTATTTAGAAGTAATTAATTGTATTCATTACAAGTGGCTAACTATTTAGACTTCCGGAGGATGGGTTTGTGTGTGAGCGCCATCATTTTCATGGCAGATAATGATCCGTCACTGTGTTTGGTAAGACATCATCCATAACATGGATGGACTGAGGAGGAAGTTACTGTTATCAGACATTGTTACACTTGACTCATCTGCAACAGAAAAGAAGTAATTGATTGTAAGATTGTTAAGAGAAGAAAAACAACCTGGGGTAACAACAACAAAATTACATTTGTATAGCAGGAATTTGTGGACACCCTGTACTTGTAGCCAGCCAGCTGTTTTGTGCATAGAAAGCTCCTACAAACAGAACACAAAGTGACTGACTGAACTCTGATTCCTCCTTAGTCCCTCTGGAAATGGGAGTATTTCTGAGGGAACATTTGAACTACTGGTACAGCTTAAAGGCCTATTACCTGGCGAAAACAATGGCAGACGTCCCCTTCCAGGTGAGAGATAATAATAATCCTTGCATTTGATATATACTGCTAGGTAAAGAGAGATGCGTGGAGTAAGGGCACGCCCTGCCCGGGAATCGAACCCGGGTCCTCTTGCTTGCGGGAGTCCAGATTGAGAAGCAAGTGTTTGCCAGTGACTGACATCCCAATCTTCCATTTGGACAGATCATGTTCCCGGTGGCGTACTGCAGCATCGTTTACTGGATGACCGCCCAGCCGTGCGATGCCCTCCGGTTTGCCCTCTTTGCTGCACTGGGCACGATGACATCGCTGGTGGCCCAGTCCCTGGGCCTCCTGATTGGGGCCGCCTCCACCTCCCTTCAGGTCAGGGGTTGTGCGTTGACTTCCCCAGTCAACAAAGCTTTTCCTTGCTCTTTTCTGGTTTTTTTAACACACTTGTCCTCGCAAATTGGCCCCACGTCAGGTTTTACAGATATTTTTGGATCTGGGCTGGGGTGGGGGTGGGGGGGGGGAACAGCGGGGCGAGGGAAGGTAACCAAAAGGGCTGCCAAAGAGATGGGTCTTAAGGCAGATTTTAAAGATGAGTAGAGAGAAGGGGGAGGCAGAGGGACATCGGGATGGACTTCCAGAGAGCAAGGGGTCATATTGGCTAAAAGCTCAGGACTGGATTGGGCAGGGTACACAACACGAAGCAGGCCGGTGTTTGCTGAGCGGAGGGAGCGACCAGGGCATTAGTGTCGCAGAGGTAGGGATGGGGCTAGGACGTGGAAGGAATTGAAAGTGAGGACGAGGATCTTGACCTTGATCCGCCAGTGGACGGACCCACGACCTTCTGACACAAAGACAACTATTTAGACTACTAAATGAGCCAAGCTTTGGACATGGAACCAAATCGTCTTGCGTTAGCCTGTGCTTCGTCAAACAGGTCCAACTGTTCCAAGAGAGAACATTCTTGTATAACGCGAAGCTTGGGTCAGACACTACACCTGAACCGGGGCATTGTGTAAGAAGGTAGATTTAGAAATGGATCTATAACGCCACAGGTGTAGAGTGATTTGTAGAACAGATCACCTTGAATTGCCTTCCTTTCCCATTTCTTCAGCGTATCAGAGGTAGATGCATCACCTCCTGCAGACAAGCAGTGGTACAGCAGCTTCCTCTGATGTGCCTAAGAACTGGGAAAAGAAGGCAATTGCCACCCAGACTGAAGTGAGGGGAACGTTCGTCTTATCTGCCTACGCACCTGCTTTAGTGAAGCATTTCCTACGGTGTCTCAAGTCCATTATGGCTGGGAATTTGCATGGCCTGTCAGAGCAGCCGACCCCAAAAAAGGTGTTGGTTACCTATTGCACAACAGCTCGTTAAATAGCACGGTTGTGGTGGAGTTAGCGAATGTGTGCATGTGGCCATGTGAGGGAGCGGGAATAGAAGGCTATGGGAGTAAGGCCTATGTGGAGTCTCGTGAGGAGTATGACTGGTCCACTTGCGTGCACCGGTTGGACCAAATGGACGGTTTCTGTACTTTACAGTCTACATAAATCAATGTAAATGTGTGCACGTCGGTGTGTATGTGTGTGTGCAAGCGAGTCAAGCATGTGTGTGTATGTTTGTGTTTGAGTCACCATTTGCGTGCGTTCGTTCGTGTGTGCATGTGAGTCAGCTTGTGTGTGTGTGTGACCATGAGTCAGTTTGTGTGTGTATTTACATGTTTGCATGTGAGTCAGCACGTGCGTGTGTTTGCGTGTGGTGGACTCAGCTTGTATGTGAGTCAACTTGTGTGTGTGGAGGGGTGGTTGGGGCGCGAGCGGGGACTTTGTGTGTGTGTGTGTGTGTGTGTGTGTGTATGGGGAGGGGGTGTGTGTGTGGGTGTGAGTGTGTGTATGGGGAGGTGTGTGTGTATTTGTGTGTTTGTGAGTCAGCTTGTGTGTACGTGTGTGTGTGTGTGTGTGTGTGTGAAGGTTAGCAGCCCCGTCCTGTCGGCTAGACAGGGTAGAACCACGAAGCTGACCTTTTTGTCTTTGGTCTGTAGGTGGCGACATTCGTAGGACCGGTCACGGCTATTCCAGTGCTGCTGTTCTCCGGCTTTTTTGTCAGCTTTGACACCATCCCTAAGTACCTGCAGTGGATGTCCTACATATCCTATGTCAGGTAATGGAGCACATGTGACACTCGCTGTCTGTAAATTCCATTAATTCTCAGCCTGGTGTCAAACTCCTGGTATCACGTGTGTCAGAAGGTTGTGGGTTCAAGCCCCACATTGGGACATTGAGCTCACCGTCTAGGCTGACACTCTCGTGCTGCATTGATGGAGGTGTCGTCCTTTCGGTGAGATGTTAAACAGAGGCTTTATTTGCCTGTTTAGGTGGATGTTAAAGATCCTATGTCATTATTCAGTCTCTCTGACCTGACCCTTTGTAACTCCATCCCACATTCCCTTTGCCTCACTTCCTCCCTTGCCTCCTTCAAGGCACGTCTCAAGACCCCCCTTCTTTGACCGCGCCTTCGGCTGCCCTCCTACCCTCTCTGTCCTCTACCCTCCCTAATCCCAACCCCCTACTCGGATCCAAATCCCTGACTGTCCAGCGCCTTGGGACGTCCTCCTGGCATGAAAGGCGCTATACAGATGTAATTTTGTATTACATTATTCAAAAAGAGAAGGGAGTTTCTTCCAGTGCTCTGGCCAACAATCCCCCAGATAAAAATTGGTCATTCACTTCATAGCTGTTTGTGGGACATTGAGAAGTAATGTTAATTGTATCCGCAACCTTAGTTAAACCACATTCGGAGACTATGTGCAGTTCTGGTTATATATTATAGGAAAGATATTATAGCATCAGAGAGATTTCAGAGCACGTTTTACAAGGATGTTACAAGGGATCAATAGATTCAACAATCAAGAAAGATTGGACACTTTGGAACTTTTCTATCTGGAGATGAGATGATTGAGAAGGGGACCTGATGGAGGGGTTTAAGATTTGATAAGGTGGACTTTGATGGTCTGGTTCCACTTGTTGGCCATTGCAAGACTAGAGGGTAAAAAATGTGAGACAGATAGTGCTAGATTTAATAGGAACTTTAAGAGGAATTTCTTCATATGGAGGGTAGTGAGAATGTGGAACTCAATGCTGGAAGCCGTGATTGATGCTAAAAGTTTTGGAGAAAATACACGAGGGAAAGGGGAATAGAAGGATATAGGAGAAGGGAAAAGGAGGGGTGGAGGAATATTATAAAAAGGAGGTGTGGAGTCCTGTAGCATAGTGGTTAGCGCTCTTGCCTTACAAGTGAGAGGATCCGGGTTTTATTCCTGGGTGGGTTGAAAACTTAGGCAAGTTTCCTTACTCCACACACCTCTGTTTACCCAGTTGTTAGTCGATTGACGGCTTACTTTCCGGGGGGTAATCATCCTTCAAAGATAAATAGATTGGTCACTCAATCCACAAATGTTGGTGGGACACTATTGTGCGCAATTGGCTGCCGTGCTTCGCCCACAAAATACACCGTGAATTCACTTTACAGTATATTCTGCAAAGCGCTTTGAGACGTGATAAGGAGCTGTATCAAATGCAAGGATTTTTAAATGCCCGCGCGGACCTGTATGGAAAAAATGGCCTGTTTCCGTGCCGTGTAACTGTATATCTCCCTTGACTCCCGTAGATATGGGTTCGAGGGTGTCATCCTGTCCATCTACGGGCTGGGCCGTGAAGATCTGCACTGTGACAAGGACGAGATCTGTCACTTTCAGAAATCGGTGGCCATCCTTAAGGAGCTGGACGTGGAGAACGCCAAGCTTTACCTGGACTTTATTGTGCTGGGCATCTTCTTCGTCTCCCTCAGGCTCATTGCCTATTTTGTGTTGAGATACAAAATCCGTGCTGAGAGGTGAATTCGGAGCCTGCCGCTGACATTCCCCCCTCTTCCTTCCCGGGGCCGTCCGGCACCAGTCTGCATGAGACAAGTCCTGGTTATCTCTCCCCTCCCTTTAACAGCACACCACCATTCACTCCCTCCTACATACCTCCAACCGTACACGGAGGTCACACACCATTCAGCTGGTCAGGCCACTCTGCCCTACAGGCTAAAAATGGGCTCAGAGATGCACACAAGCTCCACCGTGGGTTCATGGTGTTTGCAACTCTGGGTGGTCTCGACAGCTTTCCTCCCCACAAGAGTCTGCTTTCTTCTCCCCCTCCCCACCCCACCTCATCCACCTGATAACAGAGGGGATTAATTGCTTTCCCATAATTCACAAAAATGATGGGAGTACACTGATTGCTGATTGCGGGGTTCATTCACACAAAGACAAAGCTATAAGCTTTATCCCAGCATCTCTACCACACACACACACACACACACAGGAAAGGTCTCAGGAACAGGACCCAATTCAAGTTTCATTGGGTCGAACCTCTTTTCCTCGCCAGGAAAATTCTTTCCCCCTCTCCCCCACCGCCATCCTTTCACCATCACCATTTAATGTTACCCTTTTTCGCAGAGAACTGATGCTAAAATGGCAGCCATTGGCCATATATGCATTCCGCCATTTCCCACCCAGTGTTGCCAAATTGGGTGGATTTCACGCCTAATTAGTGTTTTTCCCTCAAAATTCAGTCAATTCCCTTTACAGTATTTTCTGTGAAGCGTTTTGAAACGTCTCAATGACGTGATAAAGCGCTATGTCAAATGCAAGGAATTTTTTTTAGTACCGTTCATGAGAAACAGCTTTGGGCAGGTGCCTAATTTTAAACTTAAATCGACCACTCTGCTACCCATTAAGTAGGCAATGCATAATATACTTTCGGGTTAATATTTGGTTGACTTTGGGCCACGAAAGGTGTTTTTTAAGCCAACATATTCCGAACGTTAATTTTGCTTTGGGTCTGGAAAAAAGTCTTGAGTCGCCAGTGTTGTTCCTCCGTTCCTACCCCCCCATCCCTCCACACACGCGCACACACACATATAAACACAAACCTCCCTCTGATTAGCTCCCAATTCTCCAGATGGAGTAAAGCAGGGAGTTCTATACAGTTTTATCTTAACTGTGGTGCTTTCAATGAAGCAAAGCCTCTCTGCATTGAGTTGCACTCAGTAACTTTTTTTGTCCTTTGTCCCTCTGGTTCAGGAGAGTTTGCGAATCCCCAGGCTCCCCCTCCCCCTCCTCTGACAACCTTTTCCCCTCCTCGTCCCGAATGTGCCCTGAAAATTACATTGAATCAGGTTGAACAAGTTCACTACTGTTGAATATGTCTGCAATCCACTGGACGACAATCGAGCACAGACAAGAGGAGTCGGCGCAAGACAACAACAACACATTACATTTGTCTCGCGTCTTTCACATTGGGAAGACGTCCCAAGACAAGACAAAAACGGTGAGGAGGTGTGAGGGTGAAAGGAGTCACATAGAGCTTGCAGAATTCTGCTCTTGGCTCGATTGCAGTGACTCCTACAAGGCAGACCATCACCCTCTCGACCCTCTCCCCATCCCCTCACTACACCGCCACTCACTACAGTGATCACTTCTTGTTTGGTCACTTTTTCTTCAGTGAGTGGAAATGTGGGTGCTGGGGGCAGGGGTGTGGGGTAATGCCTGAAAAAGGGGGAGGGGTGCAAAACCAAATACAGGAACATTTGCCTGAGTTGACTAAAGGTTTTAACATTAAGCAGGATCAATGCAAAAAAAATGTTTAGTTTGAAGAAAATTGTATATTTTGTGACAGAGTCAATGTTAATACTACAGCTTTGCTTTGAGCCCTCCCCTCCTTTGACGTCGAAAGGAGGTGGGGGGTTTTGTGGGGGCAAGGAAGGCAGATGCTGTTATTTCACTGTAAATAGTTTCATTATTTAGAATGCAATTTCCTTACTTGAATCCTTGCACGTAACAATGCGACTGGTTCTGTGGTCAGTGAGATTATTAAGTGGTTGGGGTGGGGGGGATGTGGGGGGAAATGTATGTGTGGAAATTGCAATCTGTGATACGTTAATTGTCGGAAGGTTGAAAATTCTGGCCGGTCGGTCTTAATTATCAACGGGTCCTTGTGTGTGCACCATATATACCCTTTCCCTTCATCGGATGCGGGTGGGGCTTACACGTTCTGATCAGTTTGGAGGGGTCGGTTAGGGTGTGGAGGAAGGAAGGGCATCACACTCACAGATCAGACCCACAAATTTGAGATGTTGAAGGTGCAGTTTCTGTCACTGGTGTGATAATTGTCTCTGGTGTTAATCAACATGGCACCTGTCACAATTGGTAACCATGGGTAGGTTGATGGGCGAGTCGGTGAGTGTGTCCGTGGGTGTGTTGGTGGGTGGAAAAGGGTTCCACCTCGCATTATGTAAGACTGATAATGAGGCATGTCAGGAACAATGCTGGTTTTACTTCCCTGGGCTCCAAACTCATTATTTATGGTTGAATTATTTAAGAAATATCCATTTTCATGGTCCTCAGTTAACAGGAGCCTGGGGCTTTGTTTTTTTGTAATTATTGGGGGGGAATTATGTGAATCTCTTTTGCCTCAGTCAGAATTTATAGCAAAAGCAAAAGTTCCTGGTGCCCAGCTGGCTGGTCAAGGTGTTGCATTGTGCCAATGTGTTTTCTATGCATTGTATATTGTGTGTGGGGGTGGGTGAGATGGAATGGAAAAGCTGGGACGCTCTCCAGTTTTCTCCCCTCCTCCAAAACACACTGGGATATGGTTTCGGAAGTGACAGCCATCTTTGGGTACCTTGGCCTTGTGGCCATTTTGGTTTGGGAGGGCCTGACCTCCAACCCTAGTTCTCTCCGCACTTATCATATCCTCCAACCTCTGCCCCCTCGAGTGGGGCTGGAATGAAATTATAGTTCAGGAATTGGTCAACCACTTTTCTCTTGCTCTCTCTCTCTCTCTCTCTCTCTTGCTGTGAGGACTGCACCCTTTTCATTAAATGTAGATGCAATTTGCACAGAACTCCCAAGGCCTGTTTATGGCTTGCAGCAGAGAGTCTCAGTACTGTTACCAACTAATGCATGTGGCAAATTTCCCAGAAGAAACTTAATATAATGCTTGAAAACTCAGTTCCCTACTCCCCTTTTTTTGATAAGCTGAAGACAAGAAACAGTGTTCAAAGCCCGTTACTATTTGTTCCCTCATCACCAGCGTTTGGGGGGCGAGGCCAGACCCTCCGAACACAACGTTGGCAACAGAGTTATTACAAATGGAGTATACCTCCACTTGACCTCACCCGCACAGACTCCATGATACAGGACTAATCCTGGAGTTTGTCAAAAGGAAGGCATCAAAAAATTTATTTTTGTTTGAGGTGGGAGTATGGGGTATGAAATTTGCAGGGTTTGATGACATGTTCTCTGTGATGACTGCCAGACATCATCAGCCTCCACAAATATCCTTATTATTATCGCCGGCCTCTGCTGAGCTGTCGATCAGCACTGCCCCCGCCCCGCCCTACCGGCTGCCATCTTGAATTCTTCCCCCCCCCCCGCCTCTGGCGCATGGGGGAGGGGAGGCTGAGGGAATTTTCCGCTCATAAAGTAATGCCGCTTCAATTCGACAGAAGGAAGAAGCCAGGCTTGCATGACGTCAACTGTGTTGCAAATAGATATGCTTCGGTAATGATGATGGCAGACTGGACCTCGGGCCAGGCTGTGGCAAGCAGAAAGATGGCTTAATCTAGCCTGGGCTGGATATCTGAGTTAGTATTATCCCCCATTCCATCCCATGAGAGACTGAATTATGTCTTGGAAGCCCAACATTTCCTTACCTTTTGGTATTTTGTAGATATGATGACCGGTGACAGTATAGTGATAATCTGGCAGGAAACTCATAGGAAATAATATCTCGAGATACAATATATAGTTTGGGACATGACATGTCATGCGACTGCCAGGATGGTGGAAGGCGAAATGGATGGACCTTGGTCTTCTTTCGCCTAGCAAATACTTATGTTCTTATGTACTCTTATGACCCCACCGTTCCAGGTACATCCCTGTTTCCAGTTCCAGACCCTCATAAGTGGTGACTTTTGGCCGTATTTAAATCCGTAGACAGATAGATCACTGTGGCAATGGGGCTGCTCGTATTTTAGAAGCCTATCTTTAAGAGGATAATTTTTAGAAATAAAATACATTTTATGCTCTTCTGAAATGTTCACGTTTCCTCAGTACTTTATACATGTGCAAGGAGGTGAGCTACGTGCCGATGTTGAGTTTTTCGTCTCTTTTTTGCTTATAAAATGGAAAGGATTAAATAAAGATATTTTTAAGATACTGTCCCTTGATGATCGATTGCATTTTTAATTGTCTGTCAGGTCGTCGGAGTTCTTGTCCCTCATCTCTTTAAGCATCCTGATGATAACAGAAGCTATTTCTTGCTTTTGAAATGCAAGTACTCCGGGGATGGAATAGAACTCACTAAGAGGGAAGCTGAAAGCAATCTAGTGGTGTTATTTGACTTGTCGCTCACCATGTCAAAACAGTATGAGGCAACAAAAATAAGCCAAGCAGGATGCTGGGCTATTTAATAATAATCCTTGCATTTGAAATAGAGCCCTATCACATCTTCAAAACAACTCAAAATGCTTCGCAGGGTGTACTGTAAAGTGAATTGACTGTATACTTTATGGGTGAAATGTGGCAATCAAAGGCGCTCAGCAGTGCCCCACAAACAATCGTGGATTGAGTGACCAAATCATTTTTATTTTTTTGAAGGGATTGTTACCCCCAGAAAAGCGATCCACCAATTGACTAACAACTGGGTTCCTACTTTTTGCTTGGTAAACAGAGACACGTGTAATAAACTTGCCTAATGTTTCGCCCCACCAGGGAATTGAATCTGAGTCCTCTCACTTGCGAGGCGAGTGCTCTAACCACTACACTACGGGATTCCACAAGTTTCCACAGATTTATCTTGCTAACTCAGTTGAGTTTTGATCTCCGGTGTCATACTCAAGCTGATACATAGGTAGTATTTAAATCCTGATAGGTCAGACCCCACCTGGAGTACTGCATACAGTTCTGGTCACCATCCAAGAGGCAATGCAGAGCAACAAGGATGATTCCCCCAGTTTTAGAGGAATGAGCTTAAACAGGCTAGGGCTCTTCAGTCTTGAGAAGACAAATCTGAGGGGAACTCATAGAGGGTGGATAACATTTTAAATGGGATTGAAGTGAACAGTGATCAATAATTCTGGATCAATACCCTAGGCGACGTGTTCCACCACTGTCAAGCACTCTGGGTGCCCTACCCTGCTTAAAAGGCCGTTGTATAAATGCAAGTTATTGTTGTTTAGGATTCCTCCAAACAATAGAACAAGAGCATATAAGTTTCGATATATTTCCTGGTGTTGCCTCATTGGTTCTCAGTTAATTGTCTATTTCTTCTTAAAAAAAATCTTGTGATCTGGTACATTGGTATTAGCAGCACGTCAATGGAGGAAATGGGATCCACTCGATGCCAGGCAACCATTCCCCAATATCTCATCAAGCAACCATTGCTGAGTCACCATCTTCCCCCCACCCCAAATCATTGCCCCTTAATTGTGACTCAGTATCTGTTCCCTAACAAACCTCCCCCCAGCAACCTTTCCCCCAACAAGTGGCCCGTTTGCGACTTGCTTTAGTTAGCACACTGCAGCCAAACCGATTATTGTATTGATGGCCTAGAGCTAACCTGGCAACCTTTCTCTCCACCTCTTGTTTCTTCGCATTATCACAATTGTGTTCTTTTCATATTCTAGTCTTGTTCGTTGCAAAATCTGAACAAAGATGATGATGACAAGGGTTTGAAATTAAAGCAGACCCTTCAGCCCATTTGATCCAATCCTTTTAGAATACCTGTTCTCCCATTACATCCCCATGACGTTTCTTAAATGAGCCCAGGATCCTGCTTCAACCACCCCTTCCTTGTTATCCTAATAATCCAACCCAGCTGTTATGTTGCCTCCTGTTTGAAGCACTTAATTGCTGAATGTGCATTTCTTAGCAAACACAGAAGCCATTTAACACACAGCAATGTCCCACCAACAGCCACAAAAACATTGATCAGTTTGGTCTGAGGGATTGTCGGTCAGGAAATCAAGAGAAACTATCCTCTTTTTTGAATAGTCCTGTAGGATCTTTAACATCCACCAGAACAGACAAACATTGGCATCCCTAATGCCTGATTTGAAGGACAGTGCCACACTGTTTTGGGGGAATTTCCAATGCCAAGCCTCTTCCTGCTGTATCGGTTACGGAGTGAGATGTGATGGACTTTTCTACAGGAAAGGACAAGCTTGAATGAGGTAAAGCACAAAATTATTTTAAATTGTGTCTTTTATGTTTGTTTTTGTGCTTATATATGTGTATACTGTTGGGGAAGGGGAACAATGTAAATACCAGTAATAATTCTGAGAGTGATACTTATTTGATACAGTGCCTTATCACTTTTCTCAGTGTGCTTCACGTGATTTTATTTAAAGTGTAGTGAATTTTGTACGTGAGAGGGGCAGCCAATTTGCACATAGCAACATCCTACAAACAGCCATGAAGTGAATGATCAACAATTTGCATTTATATAGCGCCCTTCACGCCGGATGAGGTCTCGTGGCGGAGTCCGATGCCGAGCCAGGGGGAGGGGGAAGGTGACCGTAGGCACGGTCGAAGAGGAAGGTCTTCAAGCGCGACCTGAAAATGTCCAGAAAGCGGGTAAGGCGAAGGGATTAAGGGAGAGAGTTCCACAGCTTCAGGGCGTAGTGGCTGAAAGCACGGCCGCTGATGGTTGGGCGGAGGATCCAGGGGACAAGGAGGAGGCTGAGCCAGTCAATCAGGCATCATTTTAATTGGGGGAGGAATTGCTGACTCGGACACTGGGTAGAAACTCCCTTCTCCTTTCGAATTGCGGCGTCCTCCATGTATTGTTGGTGAAGTTAGCTGCGCCCATGCCCTCACCCTCTCTTTGTTTTGCTGTGATGAGAAACACCTTTAAATTGCAGCTTGGCTGATTTGGCTGTAAGCAAATGAACTTTCACGCGACACATGGGGTTTTGATGTGGAAACACAACTTTATTAGTTTAAAAAAAAATGGACACAGACGAGTGGCTGACGATCAGCAAGTCATTCCCGGGACAAATAATATTAAATAATAATCTTTGCATTTGATGTAGCATTTTTTAATCACATGATAGAGATGTCTCAAAGAGCTTCACAGAATATATTGTAAAGTGGATTGATTGTGCATTTTGTGAGTGAAACGCGGCAGTCAATTGCACACAGTAAATGTCCCACAATCAGTTGTGGATTGAGGGACCCAATTTTTTTTGAGAGATTATTACCCTCGGAAAGAGATCCGCCAATTGGCTAACAACCGGGTTCCCAATTGGTGCTAGGTAAACAGAGGAATGTGGAGTAAGGAAACTTGCCTAAGGTTTTGCCCTGCCTGGGAATTGAAACTGGGACCCCCAATAAATGTCAATGCTTATAGATTCGATTGAAGAGCATTTGGGGTGGAGGAGGAGAAAAGACGAGGGGGAAGAAAAATCATTAATGGAGCTAATACCATGACCTTTGAAAGCTTATTATCAGTTTTAATTGTATAATTATCACTGACTTGTGACTTGTGACCTCCCCCCACCCCAACAAACACACACACTGTTCTTCTCCCCTCCCCAATCACTTTCCACCCCATTCATCTGTTGGCTCGCATCCACATTGACTGAACTTCAACACAGAACGACCAGAGTTGGGGGCAGTGTTCCAACAATGGAGCACGGCATTAGAGGTTACACCCGAGACTGTGAGTGCAAGTCCCTGTGTGGTGTGTGGGGGCTTGAACCTGAAACCTGATCCAGTGGTGAGGACGCTACCGACTGAGCCAGGCTGAGAATAATGAACTCTTTCCATCCCGTTTTGCTGATGTTCGCAAAATAAATCCTGCCGGAATCCTTTGAACTGTTGCGTGTGGTATTTGTTCCAAAAATGCATGCCTTCAGCTGTTTGATTCTTCTTTCTGTGAAGCAAGAAAATAAACCAGCATTAGTTTCTGTGGTTGGTGCAATAGGCTATAGATTTCCTTTCAAAAGGGGAAGAGGATGATACATTGAGCTTAAACCAGATTGAAAAGACAGAACAGAAATACAGTAACTTACAGTTAATCATCATTATCATAATAATAATTCTTGCATTTGATTCAACATCCTTCACGGCAGCAGGACATCTCAAAGTACTTTATAGATATACTATACTGTGGAGTGACTGACTATATCTTTATATATTGTAGAGTGTAGTGAATGTGTATTTTGTAGGTGAGCGCAGCAGCCAACTTCAGCACAGCAAAGACCCGTGAGTCTATTTGAAAGAAGGAGGAAGTTTCACCCAATGGTGACCTGGTCCAAAGATCCTCCAGCCAAATCAATGGTTTGCTTCATGACTGATCATTCCTTCTTTAAAAAAACAATAATAGTAAATTTGTCACTCAATCCACAACTGTTTGTGGGACACTGCTGTATGCAATTGGCTGCCGCATTTTGCCCACAAAATATACAGTCAATTCACTTTAAAATATATTCTGTGAAGCACTTTGAGACATCTCCAATACGTGATAAGGTGGTGTATCAAATGCAAGGATTATTGCTGTTACTTTACAGTAAAATGCTGCAAAACGTTTGAGACGCCCTTCTGATGTGAAAGGTGCTGGATCAAAAGCATAGATTATGAATTTTTGGTGGGAGGGGAGAAAATCCTAGGGTTGTAAAGTGGAGCTCCACTTCTTTGTTGTGTTGAGTACCTCCATTTGTTCGTGGATCCAGTCCAGGTATTCGGTGACTCTGGTGTACACTCCGGGCTTGTTCTGCTTTGCACAACCGGCTCCCCAGCTAGTAATTCCAACCAGCTTCCAAGCATGGTTTTCCTTGCAGGCAAGAGGACCCCCGCTATCTCCCTGATGTAATCGAAAGGTAAAGAAAGTGGCACATCAGATTTCAGAGCCTAGACACACGTATGTACTCACACAGATCTGCATCCACATAAAGTCCCACAAGCAGATATGCTCACACATACGTACGCGGACATAGATGCACATGTGTCTAAATACTTTTGCACGTAATTGCATGAGTGCATGGACACATATATGCCCAATTCTGCATATGCAAGTACAGGCACAGGGATTTGCATACGTAACACAAGCACACCAATCTGTGCTTATACACAGACACAGGAGCATGCACCCGTACACACACAGGCAAGTGGCCCAGTCTGGTGCGCAATTCCCTTAGCTTGCTCTGTACAGATTGCTCTTATATCCACCTGCTAATGAAACCCAGTCCCTTTTATTTGTTGTTGCCATTAGATTTATCTAGGCTACTTCGGACATCTTCCCACCACCAACTCCCTTGCCCTCCATTTCTCTTGACTCCATCCCACAGCTCGAGTGCTAAGCCTTGACTGTTCAAGTGCCTTGAAACATCCTCCCGACATGAAAGATTCTATTTAGATGCAAGTTGTTGTTGTTGTTGTACCTCCTAAATTTCTATCCTGAACAGCACACTACACGTACCTGGCAGGAATCAACGCCTCCCTCCAGGGATCCAGCACAAATCATCCTGGACGTTATCCTTCGGGAATAGACATCGGGCCGGCTGCACACATTGTTAGATATGAGAGGCACCTGAGCCTCCCTCAGGCCGACCGAGATCTTATCTGTTGAGTAATAAACACTGCTCAGTTCACAAACCAGAATAATTTGTGCACCAATATTCTGGGTGAAATCAGCGACTCACCACATTTTCCCCCTAAGTTCTCTCTTTTGAAGTTTTTTTTTGTTATCGTGTTTCGTAGTTTTTGGCATTGATCTCAAATTGATGTCTGACCGATTCATAGGAAATAATAATCTCTCCCTATTTACCTTATTGAAAGATGACTCCAATGTGAGAGGTTGTGTTTTTAGGAGACAATAAGGCAGTAGTACAAAAGGTTTAGAATGGGATTGGGAATGTAAAGGGTAATAATGATAATAAATAATAATCCTTGCATTTGATATAGCGCCTTATCACGTCTCCGAGACATCTCAAAGCGCTTCACAAAATATATTGTAAAGTGAATTGACCTTATGTGTTGTGGGCAAAACGCAGCAGCCAATTGCACAGAGAGGTGTCCCACAAACAGTTGTGGATTAAAGTGCCAATTTATTATTTTTTATTTTTTTCAAGGGATTATTATCCCCAGAAATGCGATATGCCAATCGACTCAACAACCGGGTTGCTATTTACTGCTTCGTAAACAGAGGCGGGTGGAGTAAGGAAACTTTCAGAAACTAGGATGTTTTCTTTGCTCAGAAGGCGATTAACAACTGGATAGATTACCAGGAAGGATGGTTGAGGTCAGGACACTGGAACTCATTTATAAAGCAGCTTGATGTTGTGATGGTGGGGGGGAAGGGTGAGGAGGCACAGCAGGGCGGTTATTACAGAGGGAGGAGATGGGTTTGGCTGAAACGCCTTTTTAATCCGAACCAATCTTGTTAGGAGTATTTTTTTTACACACATGTTACAAAAGTACAGTCCTTGTTGTAACTTGAGGACCATTTATGAGCCTCTTTTATTGCACAAATTTGGTTATGTGGCTGCAACATGGTCTCTATTCACTGCGCATGAGCTTGCTTCCTGCTCAGTGGATGGAGTCCGCCAGCTCTCATGCTATAATGGCTGACTTCTGGGTCATTATGTCACCACAGGCGTCACCTCTTCCTCTGTGCAGATGGTGACATGATGACCTGTGCGGTTGCCCATCACTTCTAGCTACATCACGGGTTGAGATTTGATGGATTCACTCGTAACAAGGCCCCACTGTAGTGAATTAGCTCCGCCATTGCCAAGTGTACTAGGACGCTACCCTAGGTGAGGGGTGCTATATAAATGCAAGCTGTTTTTATAGGCCATTCCAGTAATAATAAACCTTGTGTCTTATGCAGCGCCTTGTCATGTTGAAGCATCTCAAAACGCTTCACAGAGTATTGTGTAAAGTGTGGCGACTGTATTTGTAGATGAACGGGACAGGCAATTTGTGTGCAGCAATGTCCCACAAACAGCCATGAATTGAACCAACAACAACAACTTGCACTTATATAGCGCGCTCCACGGAGGGTAGCGTCTCAGAGAGCTTAACAGTGATGGAGCCTGACTTCGAGCCATGGGGAGGGGGCAGGTAGCTGTAAGCACGGTCAAAGAGGAATGTTTTCAGGCGGGATTTGAGAGAGGGGGCAAGGCGGAGGGATTGAGGGAGAGTGTTCCAGAGTTTGGTGGTGCAGTGGCTGAAAGCGTGACCTCTGATGGTGGGGCTGAGGGTCAGAGGGATGGGCAGGAGACCGGTGGCAGTCGAGCGGAGGCACTGGCTGGTGGATTGGGGAGAGAGAAGGTCGAATAGGTAGTGAAGTGCCAGGGAGTGAATGGATTTGAACACGAGTGTGAGGATCTTGAAGTCGATCCGTTCGGTGATGGGGAGCCAGCGGAGCCTGGGCCAGCACTGGTGAGATGTGGGTACGGAGTTTGGTCCGGGTCAGTTTGTGGGCGGCAGAGTTCTGAACGAGCTGAATCTTGTGACAGGTAGAGCTGAGAGACCGGCGAGGAGTGCGTTGGAGTAATCCAAGCGGAAGGTGACAAACGCATGCACGAGGGTTTCGGATAAGGTACGGTCAGAGGCGGGCAATGTGGCGGTGGTGGAAGAAGGCATTACTGGTCAGGGATCAGAGGTGGGGGAGGAAGGACAGCTGGGGGTCGAACTGGACACCTAGGTTGCGCACTGGTTCGGTGAATCTGAGGGAGAACCCAAGGATAAAACAAAAATAAAAAAACAAATGTGTTTGTCTCGGGGAATGTTGGTCGGAACACTGGCAGAAACTCCCTTCCCATTTCAAATAATGTCAAATTCTATGATTGTGTTTTATTGCTTTGACACACAAAAAATGCCTTGCTCGGTGAGTGGCACTCTCGCCTCCGCGTCAGAAGGTTGTAGGTTTGAGCCTCAGATAGGGACTTGGAGTTCCCAGTCTAGAGTGACACTACAGTGCAGTGCTGAGCCAGCGCTGCATTGTCAAAGCTGCCGTTCCTTTGGATGAGACGTTAAACCGAGGTCCCACCTGCAAGTTCATGTCGATATTAAAATTCCATGGCACTATTTGAAAAGAGAAGGGAGTTTCTCTCCCAGGGTCCTGGCTGACAATCCCCCAGATAAAATTGGTCAATCATTTCATGGATGTTTGTGCACAAATTATCTGCCGCATTCGCCTACAAATTTTGTAGTTGGTATTGTTATTTGTGGAGTCCTGTAGCCTATTGATTAGAGCACTCGGCTCGCAAGTGAGAGGACCTGGGTTCGATTTCCCTGGCAGGGTAAAATGTTAGGCAACTTTCCTCACTCCACACGCCTCTGTTTACCTAGCAGTAACTGGGAACCCGATTGTTAGTTGAATGGCGGATCACTTTTTCAGGGGTAATAATCCCTTCAAAAAAAATAATAATAATTCACAACTGTTTGTAGGACACTGCTGTGTGCAATTGACTGCCGTGTTTTGCCAACAAAACAAAATATACATTCAATTCACTTTACAGCATATTCTGTGGAGCGATTTGATACGACTCGAAGCTGTATCAAATGCTGTATCAAATGCAAGGATTATTGTTATTATTAAAATTCTCACCTCCTTCGTTCGTGGTACCCCAGCCAGAGATCCAGCAGGTTTTCCCTTCTACAAACTCCTGCTCAGAATTGGGAAGACAGATGGGCTGCACCTGATCTGCAACAAGGGTTTGTTCACGATTAGTCAGCCCATGGTTTTCAAAGGAGATTGTTTTTTCTTTCATTTCTTAAATGTGCAATGGCTTGCCAATCGCATTGAGAAATACCGTAAATTACCATCAAATTTGTGTTGGGTGTGGATTATGTACAGGGCAAGGACTGTATTGGAATGATAGCCTGAAGCTCCAGCACAGTTGGGGAGGGAAGAGCAGTGTTTTTGGAGGCAATGTCCTTTAGAGCACAGGTTAAATCAAAATCCCGCCTGCCTGTTCAGAGGGATGTTAAAGACACTATTTGAAAAGAGAAGGACGTTGGGAGAGAGAGAGATCTGTGAGCGGGAGGGAAGAGTCGCAAGAGAGCTGCAAGATAACAATATTAATAATAATAATCCTTGCATTTGATTATAGGGCCTTATCATGTCTCAAAGCTCTTCACAGAATGTATTGTAAAGCGGATTAACTGAGCGAACTCAGCAGCCGATTGTGCACAGCAGTGTCCCACAAGCAGTCATGGATTGAGTGACTGTTTTGTGCGTGCGTTTGTGTGTGTGATCGTGTGTGTTTGGGAGGGTTATTATTACCATCAAATGTCAATTGTATGTCCAGCTTTATGAGAGCGATATCGTAATCGAAAGTCCTTCCACGGTACTTCTTATGATGAATAATCTTCTCTACAGCACGTGATAACATGTCCGTCTCTGGCTGCTCCACGATGCCCACATACACCCTCCACAATGTCAGCAGCTGGAACCTTAGACCAGACAAACCCACAGATGGGAATTCACCTGCAACTCCCTTACTAGTACTACTACAACAACAACAAATTGCATTTATATAGCGCCTTGTCCCCTCCCTTTCCTCCTTCAAGTCCCGTCTCCCAACATGAAAGGCGCTACATAAATGTAATTTGGGGTGGAGGCCAAGAGGGGGTTGAGGGTGGGAAGATGACCAAAGGTGCGGTCGAAGAGGAAGGTCTTGAGACGGCCTTGAAGGAGGCAAGGGAGGGAACAGGGCGGAACGGGTCCGGGATGGAGGATGAGTGCAGAAAGGCTAAAGGCCCGACAAGCCATTTTAGAAAATGATCTCAAAAACAACAACTTGCATTTATGTAGCGTCCTGTCCAAAATGGCCTCCGGGTTGCTGCTGACCTCACATCCTGTGCGCTGTGTGCACGTGTCATGCGCAGGAAGCATTTCTGGTGTCACTTCCTGCACGCTGCGCGGATTGAGCCATGTGGGGGGTTGGAGAGGAAGGAGGGAGGAAATGATGACTCACTCCGAAACGCAGTGCGCAGCTGTCACTATCCACTGGGCCGCGATGATGGACCCTCCGCACAGGTGATGCCCGTCAAAGTGCAGACTCGCCTGCCAGGGCCACTCGCCGGGTGTTGACTGATTCCCTCCAACAATCCGAGAGAAGTACTTGGGTCTGGAGCCACAGTCTGTCCGAGGAGAGAGACGCACAATGACAAGAAGGTCTGCACACACCCAGCACACTCTTCAGCTAGGACAATATCTCAATGAACCTTACAGAGTTCGTGTGGAGCACTGGGCAAGGTGGGGAGGGGATGTTGGGCATTGGAAGCATATTACAACGTTGGAGCAACAGTGCAACAAGGACATCAGCAGGGATAAGCAGACACAGTTATCTGGAAAGACTGGACAGCTCGGAGCTTTTCTCAATTGAATGGGGACCTGATAGAGGAGTTTAACGTGATGAAAGGATTTGATAAGGTGTATCTTGATAGCTGTTTCAACTTGTTGGTGAATCTGTAACTAAAGTGTATAAATATAAGAGGGGCAGTGACAGATCTAACAGTGAGTTTAGGAGGAACTTCTTCATGCAGGGGATAATAATAATCCTTGCATTTGGTATAGAGCCTTATCACGTCATAATGATAATATAATAATAACCTTTGCATTCAGTACAGCGCCTTTCACATTATGACATCTCAAAGCGCTTCACAGGATCTTCTAAGGTGAAGTGATTGAGGCGTCTCAAAGCAATTTGCGGAATATACTGTAAAGTGATTAACTGTGTATTTTGTGGCCAAAAGGATGGTGCTAATATGGAGCTCGCTGCTGAAAGCTGCGGTTGAAGCAAAAAGCATCAACATTTGTAAGAGTAAAGTACATGTGTATATGAGAGAGGGGGGCAGAGGGGGTACAGGGGGGGAAATTAAGGGTTTGAGCCCTCCCCCTCATCAGACATACCTAAACATTTGAGCGATGCGACTTTCCCTGAATGACACCTTGTGCTGCGGATGAAAGTAGAAACATAATAAATGCAAACGCACCGGTGGATGTAATGAAATAATAATAATAACCTTTGCATTCAGTACAGCGCCTTTCACATTGTGAAATCTCAAAGCGCTTCACAGGATCCTCTGAAGTGATTGTGTGTTTGTCGACAAACACAGAAGCCAATTTGTGCACACAAACAGCTATGAAATGAATGACAGATTTAATCCTGGGGAATTGTTGGCCAGGGACTCACTCTTCTCTTTTTGAATAGCGCCACAGGACTTTTAATATCCTCCTGAACAGGGGCAGATGGGAATCTAAGTTCAATGTATCATCCGAAGAACGGCACGTCCAACAATGTACCACAACACCAGAATTGCATTGGAGTGTTAGCATAGACTCTATGAGTTTCAAGTCCCAACGTGGCTGACGCTGGCTCAGTGTTGTTGTTCCTGTTAGTTACCTCAGCAGGGTGACCATCTGTATCCTGGAGCCTAGATCTCTGGGTCGCTTAAAATTCACCTCCACAAAATTGAGCGTGAGCTTCTCTTCAATGGAAGCGATCGGAAGCTCGGTGGAGTTCACATAGCTGGGAGACACAAAGGTAAAATCCTTCAAAATCATCGGCCAACAAATTAATGGAATCATTAATTCCATTTGCCAACAAAGGGAAATGGAATTGACGATAATGATAATATTAATAATATTAGGAAGACAGGATCTTGAGGTGAGAGATCAGTTACGGGGGTGAAAGTGAGTCTCAGAGTTTCCGTAATTCATGCAGCTTCCAAACAAGTGGCTAACAATTCCTCACAAAAAGAGACATTAGCTGTGAAAAACATCATCGTCACTCACAAATCCCGAATGAAGCCAGACATAGCTGTGTGTGATGTAAATAATAATAATAATCCTTGCATTTGATATAGCGCCTTGTCACATCGGCGAGACATCTCAAATCGCTTTATAAGATATACTGTCAAGTGGATTGACTGTATTGTGTGGGCGAAACCTGGCAGCCAATTGCATACAGCAGTGTCCAGTTGTGGATTGAGTGACCACATTTTTTTTTGAGGGATTATTACCCCTGGAAAGCGATCCGCCAATCGACTGACAACTGGGTTCCTACTTACTGCTAGGTAAACAGAGGCTTGCGGAGTAAGAAAACTTGGCTAAGGTTTTGCCCTTCCTGGGAATCGAACCCGGGTCCTCTCACTTACAAGGCGAACGCTCTAAACTCTACGGGATTCCATCTAAAGACAGAAGATGGTTGCAAAGTGATTTGTAAAGAGTTCGTAGAATTACCTGTTGTAACCGAGCTGTTTACACGCAACCGTTCCGTACATGGCATTCCAGCCCTCCCAGCACACTGTCCTCCAGGTGCCGCCAGTGTAAATCTGCACCACCGAGCTCTTCCCACTAACCCGCACTGAAAGCAAAGGACAAGCGGAGGCTGCGTTTGGAGATAGTCAGACGACACAGCATGCAAACCATAAGACAATATCCGTAAACAAGGCTAAATTTACAATGTGTCTTAAACCATTCCTTGTGCTAACACAGTTAACCTGGAAACATGTTAGAAACGACTCCCTTAACAATAACGGCAATGAAAACAACAAATTACATTTGTATAGCAACTTTCTCGTCGGGAGGATGTACCAAGGCACTGGGATTTGGACCTGAGCTGAGGGTTGGGATCATGGAGGGTGGATGGCAGGGAGGGTAGAAGAATGACCGAAGGGGCAGTCGAAGAGGAAGTTCTTGAGAAGGACCTTGAAGGAGGCAAGGGAGGGGGCAAAACGAAGGGACTTTTGGATGGAGTCCTAAAGGGTGGAATTAAGATTAAAGATTTAATTAAGGATTAAGATTAAGCACTTAATCTCTCCAGCTCCCAGCCTCAGATTCCAGTCAGATGGGAGTTAAACGCAAAACAAGAAACACATTTGAAAAGAGAAGGGAGTTTCTCTCTCCTGGTGTTCTGGTTAACAATTCCGGTAATTGCACTTTCGACTATGCTGCAGGTTTTCCTCCTCCTTTCAGTAATGTATCTGAAGCATCAGCCCAGACTGTGACCTTAAAATTCCTGATATGGGGGCTCGTGCGAGGGCACAAGCAAATGCACTAAGATGCACAATTGCTAATGTTCCCATAGGATCCCAATGTACCATCAGCCTGGCTCAGTTGGTAGGACTCTCTACTCTTGAGTCAGAGGGTTCAAACCCCACATCAGGAATTTAAGCTCACAGTCTGGGCTGACAGTGCTCTTTGGGGGCCAGCGCTGCATTGTCCCACAAATGAGACATTAAACCAAGTCCTTGACGGTGTCTGTTCGGGTCAATGTCAAGCTGTATGGGTTTAGCTGGTGAACACTCGCAGTTCCTGCCAATATCGCATGTCATGTCCCTGATTCAGCGCCAAGCTCCACCAAGCTCACGCTCCGAGATGCTACCCACCCCCACGAAGCATTCTACATAAATGCAGGTTGTTGTTGTCGGGTGCTCTGAGATGTCTGAACAACGTGCTTAGGCGCTATATGAAATAAATAATGATAATCATTTTTGTATTTGGTGTAGCATCTTTCACATTGGGAGGACACTCCAAAAGTGCTTTGCAGTATTTAGTGACTGCATTTCTGGATGAATGCGGCAATCATTTTGTGCACAGCAATGTCCCACAAACAGCCATGAAATGAATAACCAATTTTATTTGGTGAATTGTTAGCCAGGACCCTGGTAGATATTCCCTTTTTTCGAATAGTGCCATGGGATCTTTAATGTCCACCTGAACATATAGATGGGACACGGTTTTAATGTCTCATCCAAAGGACGACACCTCTGATAATGTAACACTCCCCTAGCACTGCATTGGAGCATCAGCTTCGTGTCATCTTAGACTATGTGAGTTTGAGTTCCGACATAGGGCTTTGTAACCACAACCTTCTGAGGCAAGCGTGCTATCAACTGAGCTTTTGGACACCGAGCCAGGCTGAAATGCAAGGGTTATTATAATATTTATGCTTCGCTCCACAATGTTCTACATCTGGAATGAGAACAAAATAAATATCACCCTAAAACATAAAGACGTGTGCGTGATAGAGGAGGAAAAAAAAATCAATGTGCTCTTTACCGCATCCCAGCTCGTCCTCTCCTGTCAGGCAGTCCATCACACCATTGCACCTCGCTCTGTACCAGATACACGATGATGAGGTTCGACACTTAAACTTCCCAATGCAACTGTACGTGACTGAAAGGATTCACAAATGGTTCATAGCAGAGTACAACACACATTTACACTTACACTCCGCCTTTCATGTCTGGAGGACGCTCCCAAGCTCCCAAGGTGCTTGCTTTAGCAGCCCTGGCTGGGCAACCTAAGCTAGGAGTGGGTGCTGAAGGGTGTGGAGGAGGGGAAAGATACCTAAAATGCAGTCCAAGAGGTAATGTCTTGAACGAGGTGAGGGAGGGAGCGAATCGGACGGACTCCTGCATGGAGTTAGGCTGAAAGCTTGCCCACAGATTGGAAAATATCACAAGAGATATACAGCACAGAAAGAGCCCATTCGGCCCATTGAGTCTGCACCAACTCTCATCGCAAGCCATTCTCAATGGTTGCCCCTCTCCCCCTTCCCCCATGGATCCGATGAGCTGAGACAGAGCAACTCACAGCATTGCGCGTTCTCATCACAACTGCTGATAACAACTCAGCCTCGGTTCAGCCCTGACGTGTTCTAATAATAATAATAATAATCCTTGCATTTGATATAGCGCCTTATCACATCTTAGACGTCTCGAAGCACTTCACAGAAATATACTGTAAAGTGAATTGACTGTCTATTGTATGGGCAAAACATGGTAGTCAATTGCGTACAGCAGTTTCCCACAAACAAATCATGGATTGAGTGACTAAATATATTCTTTTATGTTTGAAGGAATTATTAAACCTCGGAAAAGCGATCCACCAATCGACTACCGACCGGATCTTGTGAGTGAGGTGGCCTGTGGAGGGCAGGGGCGTGTAGCAATTGGGAGGGTGGGGTTCACCCGCAGAGCGAATGCCTCGGGCGCTCTTTCTCGCGAGTCACTGGGTTTGAGCCGTTTGGCTAAGAGTCGTGAATGGAGCCTAATCCAATGCAACACAACCTGAATCCATTGTGTTCCCGCTCTGAACGGAACGCTCTGATGAACAAGGTAATTGATCGCCTTTAGAAAGGTGAGCAAGGCCGGTCAAATTGCACTTATCAAATCGCCTTATACTTCCAAATCCTGACACCCTTTGCTCTTCTTCGCATGACGTCACACGTTTTGTTAATTACCCGCCTACAAATGGGTGACAGGATGGCCAAGTCGGTAGCGCTGTCTCGCTAAAATGTCGCGGGTTCAACCTCCGCCCGCCCCGCGCCCACACCCCCCCCCCCCTCCCACCATGTCAAGGCTATCAACTTGCACGGTTAGGCTGACACTCTGTTGCGGTACCGAGGGTGGGGTGGGGGTGGGGGGTTGTTGCGGAATGCTGCATTGGCAGAGGTGCCACGTTTCAGATGAGATGAGGTCACGTCTGTCAATCCAGGTGGACGTTTAAGATCAAAAAGAGGAATGAGTTTCTCTGTCTCTCTCTCCCGGTGTCCCAGCAGACAATCCCCCACATTGAAATTGAACCTTCACTTTATGGCTGTTTGTGGGACACTGCTGCGTGCAAACTGGCTGCTACATTCGCTAACAAACACACAGTCGCCACACTTCACAACGCCTCCTGTGAACGGCTTTCAGATGGCCTCCAGGCATGAAAGGCACATATCAAATGGAATGATCATGAGAAGGCCAAATTCCACTCATTCCTGCCCTGTTTCGTCTTAACATTCCATCATTAAAAAATAACACAGAATTGAGCAAAATTCTGAAAGCTGGGGGTGAGGGGCAGGGCGGGGGTGGAGGGGGTGGGAGAGGGGGCTTTAATTTGAGATTCAATTTGAATTGAAATTTCATTTTATTCTATTGAAATGCAGCGATGATTCAAGCCGGCGTCAATTATCAAAAGTCACAAATTTTATCAGCGTGTTTTAGGCTTTTGCTTTCAAAATCTCAAAACACAACAGTCGGTCAATGAGTCAGTGACTGGACGGCATCAATTTAAGATAGCTGGCAACTGTGCAAATGGGGAGTTTAGGAGAAATCTTGCCAGGCACAGAGGAGTTAGGATACGGAATGCACTGCCCACACTCAATCCACGACTGTGTGTGGGACACTGCTGTGGGCAATGGGCTGCCTCGTTTCGCCTACAAAATACACAGTCAAAACACTTTAGAATATATTCTGTGAAACGCTTTGAGACTTCTCAACGACGTGATAAGGTGCTATATTAAAAGGAAGGATTATTATTATTATCAGGTCTTAGAAATGCCTCAAATTGCCTGAATTTTATTATTATTGAGGCAGAATGCACATTGGCTTTGAAAAGTGAACTAGATAAATATCTGAAAAAGGAGTCGACTACTTGGTACGGGGAAAGGGGACGGACACGATGGGCTGAATGACCTCCTTCTGTGCTGTAAAGCTCTATGGTTCTATGGACTGCAGTTGAAATGGAAGGAACTTACTGCCCACAGCAACAGAGACTATTAACAAAACTGCAAAAGTCACGACACCAAGTACTATTAAAAGCAGCGGCTTCTTGCACATCAACGCGTGCCAATTTGCAGAGGACTTCTCTGGACTTCCTAAACAAAGGAGAGACAAAAAATTAGAATCATCAATTTTTACCGTGTAATCTGTGCCTTTTTCGTCGATCACATTCTTAGCTGCATCGAGTCTTCCCTCTCTTATCATCTTCTGCTTGACACTTATCCCCTCTGTTCCACCATCGGCGGTCGTGCTTTCAGCCACTACGCCACAAAGCTTCAGAACTCTCTTCCTCCAATCGATCCGCCATGCCTCCTCCTTCCCCTAATTTGGATCCTTCCTCTTTGACCGTGCTTAGGGTTACCTCCTCCCTCCCCCAGGCTCAGCGTCAGGCTCCATCACTGTTAGGCACACAGATATGCTGCCCCGCGTGAAAGGTGCTATATAAATGCAAGTTGTTAAAGAGCCACAGTACCATCATCAAGAATAACCTCTCCAGATCATAGAATCATAGAATCCTACAGCACAGAAGGAGGCCATTTGGCCCATTGTGCTTTGTTTCGGCTCTTTGAAAGAATTAGTCCCACTCCCCCGCTCTCTCCCCATAGCCTTGCAATTTTTTCCTTTTAAAGTAAATCTCCAATTTCCTTTTGAAAGTAATTATTGAATCTGCTTCCACCACCTTTTCAGGCATTGCATTCCGGATCCTAACAATTCGCCGAGTAAAAAAATGTTTTCTCTTCTCGACTCTCCTCTGGTTCTTTTGCCAATTATCTTACATCTGTGTGCTCTAGTTACCGACCCTCCTGCCAGAGGAAACAGTTTCTTCTTATTTATTCTATCAAAACCCCTCATAATTTTAAACGTTTCCCCTTAACCTTCTCTGCTCTAAGGAGAGACTTCAACTGTGCCAGGAGGCAACAGGGGGACGGAAAACAACAACTATAACAACTTGCATTTATTCAGCATCCTTCACATGTGGCAGTGAATCGGAGCCCAGAGCCAGCCGAACAGAGGCAGTGGGTAGCGAGTTGGGGAGAAAGCAGGTCGGAAAGGTAGGGAGGTGACAGGGCACAAATGGGTTTGTAGGCGAGTGAGAGGATCTTGAAATCGATCTGTTCTGTGATAGGGAGCCTGGTGAGGATTGGTGTGCTGGTGGTACCCAGTTTAATGTGGGTGAGGACACGGGCTGCAGAGTTCTGAATCATTTGTAGTTTGTGGGTAGCGGAGCTGGGGAGATAAGCGAGGAGGGCATTGGAATAGTCTAGGTGGGAGGTGACAAAGGCGTGGCTGCGTTGGGTGTGACAACAAAAATAAAGCACGTTACCTGCCTCAGTGGGCAAAACTTTCGCTTCCAAAATATTGGGAACCTTCTGCGGAGTGTTGGGGAGCTCAATAGATGGGAGGTCGTCTTCAGTGACAGAGATCACCTCCACACTGGCCACTTCTGTCCTTTCATTCACCACCTGGTCCACCAACGAGAAGAGATTCTTCTTAAAAAAAACCTCATTTTAATAATAATCCTTGCATTTGATACAGCGCCTCACCACGTCGTCAACAACAACTTGCATTTAAATAGCGCCCCTCACTCAGGGTTGCATCCCCGAGTGCTTAAGACGTCTCAAAGCGCTTCACAGGATATACTGTAAAGTACAGTGACTGTGTATTTTGTTGGCGAAATGAGGCATCCAGTTTGCGCACAGCAATGTTCTGCAAACAGCCATCGAGTGAGTGACCAATTTTATTTGGGGAATTTGTTGGCCAGGACACTGGGAGAGACACACTCCATTCTCTTTTTGAACAATGCTGTGGGATCTTTAACGTCCACCTAGACAACCAGACAGGATCTTGGTCTAATGTTTCACCTGAAGGGCAGTACTTCTGACAATGCAATACGTCCCTAGAATTACTTTGGAGTGTCTGCTTAGACTCCAACTCCTGACATAGGGCCTCAAACCTACAACATTCTGACTCGGAGGTGAGAAGTGCTACCACTGGGCCAGGCTGACACACTTTGATTCTCGCTCAGTAACTGACATCTTTTGCAACAGCATTTACTTTTATACAGCACCTTGCACATTGGGAGAATGTCTCAGAGTGTTTGACAGTACTCGCTGAACATCTGAGCTGGAGGTGGGAGGTAAACCGTGGAGGAACGTGGGGTGGGGGGGAGGAATAGTGGGGGTCGGGAGGAACAGGAGAGGGGAGGAACGGGGTGGTAAGTAAAAGATGACTGAAGGAACGGTCAAAGAGCTGCGGTTTAAAATCCTTGCATTTGATATAGCGCCTTATCACGTCTTCTAGAAGTCTCAAAGCGCTTCACAAAATATACTGCAGTAGATTGACTGTGTATTTTGTGAGCGAAATGTGGTAGTGTCCCACAAACAGTCGGGGATAGAGTGATCAACTTTTTTTTGAGAGATTATCACTCCCGGAAAGCGATCTGGTAAACAAGCTTGTGGAGTGAGGAAACTTGCCTAAGGTTTCGGAATCATATCCAGGTCCTCTTGCTTGCGAGGCGAGTACGCTAACCACTACCCCAATGGCAAAGACCCTTTCCGACCCGCAGCGCAGGGAATGTATTGTTTACTCCAATAAATCCTTTGTAAAGGGAATGGGGTAGATGCTGTGATAGGAGACAATGGGTGAGTGAGCATGAGAGAGAGTGGTGGGAAAAGATTAGGTGGTTTAGGGTTAAAATTCACCAGGCCATTTACTGGGGAGTAACATTCCACACATTCCATCAGTGTATTTTGTGAGCAGATGCAGCAGTGTGTCCTTCCAGCCATCGTAAAGCGTGTGACTTTATCTGGGTGGTGGGCGGCGAGGAGAAGGGGGGTGGGGGAGGGGAGCAATGTCAGACAGGACGTTGGGGAGAAATTCCTTTTGTTTTCTTGAACAGCGCCACGGGATCTTTGACGTCCACCTGAACAGGCACAGGCGGGATCTCGATTTGTCGTCGTCTAAGACTAGTCTGACGGTTGGCGCCTCTGATAATATGGTGTTCCCCCACACCAGCCCATCTCCAAGCAATGCATTGGAGTGTCCACCTCACAACTACAATAGAATGACATTTATTTGGTGCCTTTCACGTCAGAAGGACGTCCCAAGGCGCTAGACAGTTAAGGCTTTGCACCGGAGCTGAGGGTTGGAGTCAACAACAACAAGAACAACATTACATTTGGATAGCACCTTTCACGTCGGAAGGACGTCTCAAGATAGTGGAGAGTAGAGGGGGTAGTCGAAAGCAATATCGAAGAGGAAGGTCATTAGACAGGCCTTGAAGGAGGTAAGAGAGGGGCCGAGGCAAAAGGATTCCAGGATAGTCCTGATGTGTGTGTGTGGGGGGTGGGGGAGGGGGCGGAACTTGAACCCACAACCTTCTGATTCAGAGGCGAGAGCGTTACCGACTGAATCAGGCTGACGCCAGGGCAGGCTAACGAAGCGGTATAGATTAATGCCTGGAAACGGCGAGCTCTGGGGTGGACCCTGTCGGTCAGCGATCGCTTCCTATTGTTCATTTCCAGTCACTCTGACGTACGCACCTGTGTGGTCGCCATCCTTGAGGCAGAAGGACTTTGAACCGGATCACCCAAGGTGCATGACCACGACTCAAGGAAACCGCGGTGAAGAACGGTGTCTGAGAGCCAGTCCCTCTCTCAGGGAGAAGCTGGAGGCAGCCGAGCCGCCCAGGCGACGGGTGTCATGTTCCCTCTCCCGCTGAATGGGGTAGTTATGGACACCAGTGGCTGTGCACGCCACGTCTCATTACAATGAGACGAGCTCAGTAACTCGACCCCGCTTTCACAAACTCCGCAGAATTTCAACAAAACAGGGCTGAACCCGGTGTCTTCTTCTCCGAACACCACCCACAGCCCCCCACCTATACCAGCCCCACGTGATATATTGCACAAGTGGTTGTACAATGTTTATTTATTTTACGATGTATAATAATAACAATATTGCGGTCACTCAATCCACGATTGTTTGTGCGACGCTGCTGTGCGCAATTGGCTGCCGTGTTTCGCCCACAAAAACACACAGTCACTACGCTACAGATTTATGGAGCACTGTAGCTCAGTGGTTAGAGCACTCGCCTCTCAAGCGAGAGACCTGGGTTCGATTCCCAGCGGGGGGGGGGGGGACCTTGGGCAAGTTACCTTACTCCACACACCTGATAATAATCCCTCAAGAAAAAAAACAATAATAAATTTGGTCACTTCAATCCACAACTGCTTGTGGGACACTGCTGCGTGCAATTTGGCTGCCGCATTTCGCCCACAACCATACAGTCAATTCACTCTACAGCATATTCTGTGAAGCGCTTTGAGACGTCTAGAAGACGTGAAAAGCGCTATATCAAATGCAAGGATTATTATTATTATATATTCTGTGCAGCGCTTTGAGACAACAACAACAAAATTACATTTGTAAAGCGCTTTTCATGTCGAGAGGATGTCCCAAGGCGCTGAACAGTCGGGGATCAGGACCCGAGCGTGAGGGGGCAGGGTTGGGGTGAGGGAGGGCAGAGAGGTAGGAGGGCGGCTGAAGTCACGGTTGAAAAGGAGGGTCTTGAGTCGTGGCTTGAAGGAGGCAAGGAAGGGAGCAAGCCGAAGGGATTGTGGGATGGAGTTCTAAAGGGTGGGGGCAAAGCGGCTGAAAGCCTGGCTGCCGATGGTAGGGCGGGTCAGGCGGGAGACATGGAGCAGACCAGAGCCTGCTGAACGGAGAGCGCGGGTAGGTTGTTAGGGGGTCAGCAGGTCAGAGATGTAGGAGGGGACAAGGCCATGGAGAGCCTTGAAGGTGAGGACGAGGATTTTGAATTCTATCCTCTGAGGGATGGGGAGCCAGTGGAGCCGGGCGAGGGTGGTGGTGATGGATTCACGGAGCCTGATGCGGGAGAGGATACGCGCTGCAGAGTTCTGGATGATTTGTACCATATGGAGGGAAGATTTGGGGAGGCCGACAAGGAGTGAGTTTCCGTTGTCGAGCCTTGAGGTGACGAATGCACATGAGTGTTTCGGCGGCTTGAGGGGTGAGACAGTGTCGGAGTCGGGCAATGTTGTGGAGGTGGGGGAAGGCAGAGCGAGTCATGGCACGGATATGGGGCAGAAAGGACAGTTGAGGATCGAACAAAATGCCCAGGTTCCAGATTGGCTTGGTGAGGTGAAGTGTGCATCCTTAGATGCTGATGCTGTCAGCGCCTGAGGTCCGGAGGCGCTGGCGCGAGCTAATCAGGAGAGCCTCGGTTTTGCTGAAGTTCAGCTGTGGAAAGTTAGCTCTCATCCAGGACTTGATGGCTGACACACATTGTGTCAGGACAGTTGTGGTCCTGGAGTCGAGGGTGGAGGCAGAGAGATAGAGTTGGATGTCATCCTCATACATGTGGAAGTTGACCCCATGTCTGCGGATGATTTCACCAAAGGGGGAGCATGCAGAAGTTGAAGAGGAGGGGACTGAGGACAGAGCTCTGAGGAATACTGCACAAGATTGTGCGAGGGCTGGAAGAGAAACCGTTGGCGGAGACAAATTGGAGACGGTGTGAGAGATAACACTTGAACCATTCAAGACAGAACCCTGAAGGTTGAGATGTCCCAGAACCTTGAGACGTCTAGAAGATGTGATAAGGCGCTATATCAAATGCAAGGATTATAATTATTATTATTTTATACAATGTAATAATCCTTGCTTTTGACACAATGTCTATAACTATAACTTTATAAGTTTCTCAAAGAACCTTGCAAGTAATTTAAAAATAAAAATTGTTACATGTGACATAGCGCCTTATCAGAACTCAAAAAGAGTCAAATTTGGTGACTCAATCTGTGATTATTTGTTGAACATTGCTGTGTGCAAGTGGCTGCCGCATTTCAGCCACAAAATACACACTCAATTCACTTTACACTATATTCTGTGAAGCGCTTTGAGACGTCTCGAAGACGGGATAAGGCGCTATATCAAATGCAAGGATTATTATTATTATTGTTCCCCCCTCCCCAAAAGAAATTGGTCATTCGTTTCACGGCTGTTTGAGGGACATTGTGTTTCGCCCACAAAATACACAGTGAATCCACTTCACAGTATCTTCTGTGAAGGGCTTTGATACGTCTCAAGCGCTATACCAAATGCAAAAATTGTTGTTAGCATTAGTATGTCAAATGCAAAAAATATTATTATTATTGCTGTGTGCAATTGGTTGGGCTGCGGTATTTGCGTACAGGACATGCAATCACTGCGCTTCTCAGTAAAATTGGCGATATACTAAACACAACAACTTGTGGCAACAACTTGTCTTTATATATAATGCCCTTCACCGAGCCTAGAGAACTTGAGTGCAACTTGAGGCCGTGCAGGGGTGAGGAGGGCGGTGATCAGTGTGAGGTAGAATTACAGAGAGATACGCCGTAGCATTGACGACGGCAGATCAGAGAAACCCGATCCTCCCTGTATCAGACGGTTTGCATTCTGACCCGTTTGTAGCAATCAATTTGAAGTGACGTGTAGTTTTGAGGCGAGGTGTGGGTCAGCAAGGGGCACAATTGTACAATCAAGAGTGGAGCCACTTTATTTTCTTTCTATTGACGTACTGGAATTCCTCTCCATCTGCCTCTGAATCCCACTTTAAAGTCAGTCTTACTTCTTCCACTAACCCTATGGTCATCTCTCCCTTCCTCTCCACCATTGCTCAGTGCCCAACCCCTGCTGCTGCGCGACGCACCAAGACTGTAACCTGTGTGAAGGGTGTACCCGCCCTCCTACCTCTCCGCTTTCGCCTCAGCCAAATCATCCTTCTATTCCAGGTTAATCCTGAAGGCGAAAGGCAATCCCAGGCTCCTGTTCTCCACCACTTACCGGCTCCTCCGCCCTCCCCGACACGCCTCGCAGATACTTTCCGCTGACTCTCACTGCAAGAAAATGCTGAACTTCCTCGAGTTCCTCGGAGTTCCACAATATTGCCAGACTCCGCCACTGCCTCACCCCTCAGGTGCTGAAACCCTCACCCACGCATTCGTCACCTCAAGGCTTGAGTCTTCCCAACTCTTCCGTTCACAAGCTGCAGATCATCCAAAACTCTGCAGCTCGTGTACTCTCACGCACCAGGCTCTGCGACCTCATCGCTCCCACCCTCGCCCGACTCTACTGGCTCCCTATCCCCCAGAGGATCAAGTTCAAGATCCTCATCCTCACCTTTAAGGCCATCCATGGCCTTGCCCCCTCCTACCTCTCTGACCTGCTGACTCCCTACCAACCTGCTCGCTCCCTCCGTTCATCAGGCTCCAGCCTGCTCCATGTCTCCCGCCCAACCTGCCCTACCATCGGTGGCCAGGCTTTTAGCCTCTCTGCCCCACACTCTGGAACTCCATCCCACGGTCTCTTCGCCTCACTTCCTCCCTTGCCTCCTTCAAGGCCGGTCTCAAGACCCTTCTCTTCAACCGTGCCTTTGGTCTCCCTCCCACCTCTCTGGCTTCCCTCGCCCCTACACCACCCCTCCCCCATGTTTGGGCCCCACCACTTGACTGTTCAGCGCTTTGGACGTCCTCCTGACGTGAAAGGCGCTCTATAAATGTGATTATTTTGTTGTTGTTGTCGCTGTTCAATTTTCCTGACAAAGTGGAACATTTTGTGTGTTCAGTTACTTTTCTTTCTCCCCTCTGGCATATTCCTCTCTGCTTCAGGCTGGGCTCTTCTAATAATATAATCCTTTCACTTGCTGCTAATAATAATAATCCTTGCTTTTGATATCGCGTCTTATCACATCTTTGCGACTTCTCAAAGCTCTTCACAGAATATACTGTAAAGTGAATTGACTGCATATTTTGTGGGCGAAACGTGGCAGCCAATTGCACACAGCAGTGTGGATTGAATGACCAAGATTTTTTTTTGGAGGAATTATTTCCCCCGGAAAGCCATCTGCCAATCGACTAACAACCGAGGTCCTACTTACTGTTAGGTAAACGGAGGCATGTGGAGTAAGGAAACTTGTCCAACGTTTCTTCCTGCCGGCAATCGAAACCAAGGTCTCTCACTTGCGAAGCGAGTGCTCTAACCACTGAGTTAGGAGTAATCAAATTATTGGGCCTTGGGATGTCCTCCCGATGTGAAAGGTGCTATACAAGTGTAATTTTGTATTGCATTTGTATTGACACTTCCCTAACTCTGGGAAGCCAATTCTCACGTTTGAGACATATCAATTTATTTTAAATAAATTAAAATTAACTTAAGTAAAAATGATTTATATTTATTAATTCCCTTACCCCAAATGTCTCTATTTACATAGCAGTAAGTATGTTTATTTATTTAAAATATATTTTAAAATTAAATCTTTTTAATCCTGTTACCCATTATCATTATTATTATTATTATTATCAAAGCGCCATTTCAGTCTATTTGCCGTCAAGTGCATTGAGACTGCGTATTTTGCTGGAACATTCCCATCCTGCTCTGTTCACTCCAATGCCCTTTTCTTAAGCTTGAACATCGCTATTTTAATGCCTGAAATTAAATGGTTCAATTTGCAAATGCAATGGAATTGTGGTTTGCAGAAGGTTCTTTGTTCCTT